TATTGTCCTATCTATTGGTACTGCCCTTTAGAGGAAGGTTGAAAAATAGTACGGCCGGCCGTACTATTTGAAGAAATTCGGTAATTGTTACTCTCGTATTTTTCCTTCATTTGTGTCTACTGTTTCCTCTATAAATTCTTTTTATCAATACAATGTATATTCATGTATAGCAACATTCCCTCCTACTTTCTTCTAACTCTTCTTTTTATTTTTACTAGTCAAATGGCCTTTGGTCTTAACTTCACTCGTGACAACCGCACGCCCGTATTCAGAAAAAAATATTAAAAAATGTATTTTCCCGTTCTCGCCTGTTTTTGTTAAAAAAACTCCGCCCTTTTCCTATTTTCTGTTGTCTGGAAATAAGGAAGGGAAATATAGCAACAAAAAAAGAGGAGGAGGAGAAGGAATGAAGTGGAGAAAAAAAAATAAACGTTCACTTGTCATTTACATTTATTTTTATTTATTCACACACAAATGGGGCTTTTAAAAAAATAAAAAATGGATGGGGGGATGGATATATTTACGTGCTTTTATTTATTTTTTAATAATATATTATTAAAGTTTTTTTGGGAAAATATTTATTATAATTAATATATCTAGACTAGGCATCAGTTCTTGGACGCTCGTACCTGGTACGAAGTACGAACAAAATCTACATTTCCAGGCACAGCTAGGCATTTATGTATTTGTGGCACCTTTCTTTTTAATTATTTTAATTAAATTTTATATTTAAAAATTTTTGTCTATTTTTTAAATTAATTGTTAATAAAATTCTTTTACCAGACAAAAATATTTATTTTTCTTTCATTATTTAAAAAAATTGTTTATTTCCATATGTTTTCCTTTGTTATTATTTTTAAATTTTTTCTGTCTCGAATTTATTTTTCTTTATATTTTGTTCCTGCTTTTCCATTTATTTTTATGTGTTCTTTCCTGGTATTTTTTATAAAGCTACGACAAACCGCGGCGCCGCACTTGACGAAAAAAAGATGAAAACGAGGAAGTAAAGACTGGGAGGGGAATAAATAAATATATAAATAAATAAATTGTTGCCATGCCAGTCTAAAATATATTTTTGAACTAGAAAAAATAATTATTTATTAAAAAATATTTAGATTTATATTATTCTAATTTCCGTTAATCTCTAATAAAATCTTAAAAGTTTTTTTAGTCAATTTGGCATTCTTAGTCTAATATCTTATCAAAAACTATCATAATAGTACATATTTGTTTTCTTTTAATAATCAAAATATGTGTTCGATTTTTAATTTAAAAATATTTTTATTTTTAAATTTATTTTTAATTTAATTAAATATTTAATTTAATTAATTTACTGACTTTTTTTATTTTAATTTTTATTAAACTATACACATTTTTATATTTAAATTCCTATACAAATATATTTAAATTAAATACAAAAAGTTAATTTAATTGTGTTTTTATTAAAATACAAAATTTAAAATTGAGGAAATAATTTATGAAATTATTTTAAATAATAAAAATTAGTTAAATAATTAATTCCTTAATTATCTGATTTTTAAATATATTATTCTTTAACTTTAGTAACTTTAAAACACAAATATATTTTTAAAAGTTTACTCCTAATAATTACATATTCCCAACACTTTAACTTTGTAAAAATATATTTTTATTTATTTACTTATTTGCAAATTTAAATATATTTTTTTCTTTAAAATTCACAAATATATTTATTTAAAAATATCCAATAAAAATATATTTTTATTTCTCTTATTTTAAAATTATCTCTAATTTTCTCTAAAAATTCTAATAAAATTTTTGCAATAACAAAACAAAAATCTCTTCATATTTTTAGCAAAACAAACAAAAAAAAATAAACATAAAAATTTATTTTAAAAAATATATAACAACAACAAATACACAAACAAACATTTATTTAAAATTTATTTATTTAATTCTTAACTTTATTTTTGCAAAATTTAGAAAATAAATAAAAAGAATATTTTTAAAAAATATTTTTGCTAAAATTTTTAGAGGATTTTAGAAACATCTAAAAATACTTTAAGCTTTTTATTTACGTCAACCTTTTAAATCTTCCTTAAGGTTTAGTTTTATTTTTTGTTCTTATTTTTAGAAAATTTAAAACAAAATAAAACAATTGTTAGAATTATTTTTATATATTTTTTGGAATAATTAGAATATATTCTTTCACATTTGTCTGTTCTTAATAGAAAAATAAACGAGTATTATTATACATTACTTCGAAAAATATTTTAAGCAAGGTTTGGCAATTTCGTGTTGTTTTCTGTTTTTTACATAACAGTTAAAATAAGGACATTTATTTTTTTCGCTACACTCTTAATTAATGTAATATAATATTAGCCTTTAAATTTTTCTTAAAGGTCGGCAAAAAATTTAGTTAAAAATTTGAATGATTTAAACGATACTATACATATAAGTTCAGTTTTTGGCATTTATATTATTTAATCAGTTCTTCTAGTTGATTCAAACAATGTCAAAACAAGGGTGGGTACAAATAATTTTCTCAGTATTGAGAAGAAAGAATTATTAAGTTTAAGAAACCTTTTATCACAAAACCTAAAATTGTTGTATCCTTTAACTAAATTTTTTTCAATTCCGTCAATAGCATTCTCAAATATTATTTTTATTTGTTAGAAAATTTTTATAAAAATTTGAAAGCAAAATTTCTAATTTAAAAATTTTTTTTGAGAAACAACAAAAAATTGTAGATTTTAAATTAAAATAATTTTTAAAAAACTTTTTTTCCTTGAAATTTTGAAAAATAAATAAATTTTAAACTAATGAAATATGTACTTAGAAAATATATTTTTATTATTTATATTTCCGTTTTATTAGACAATTTTCTGTTAAACTTTATTTCAATTTTTGTCTGAACAATAGATTTATATATTTGCTTTTGTTGATTCAATAGTAGTTTTTATTTAACAGACAAAACTTTTTTTTCATTTTATTTTTATTTGTCACAAGCTTTTTCTAATTTTTTTTAAATATAAAAGGGCATTTAATATATACATATTAGAAATTATTTAATTTAATTTTTAAAAAATATAAATTAAATTTTGTTTAATAATTGCAATTTTAGAAATTTATAAAAATAATTTTTCTTCAAAAAATTTCTACATACATCAGAATACAAAAACATGTATTATACATATTTTGATTTTATCCACCCCTCTTGGCCAATTAAAATAAAAGTAGGTTAGGTATTCTGTTTTGATTTGTTTTCTTAATTTTTTTAAATTTAATTTTTTGTTAAAATTTTTTGTAAAAAATTTTAAAGACCAAATATAAAAATAATTAATTGAAAATAATTATTAAAAAAATTCTTGGGTGAATATGTAGATAAAATCTTTCTTTGACTAAAAAACAAACTTATTTAATTACTACAATAATAATTTTTTATTATTAAATAACAACAATATTTTATTTTATTCCCAACTTTGCGTTTTATTTTTGTTTTTTAGTTTTTTTTTTATCTTTTTATTTACTTCCTTAATATTAAATAAAAAGGGGGGGGGGGATTGCGTGTTTTGATTATATTTTTTTTTAATAAATAAATATATTTTTATTATTTACGTACTTTAAAATGTTTTGATTTTTATAAAAAAATAATATATTAATCATTTATTTATTTTCCTCTTTTTCATATTTATTATTAATATATTCCATAAAAATATTTAAAAACCTCCCCAAAACTTTTTATCATTTTTTTAAAATTATTTTTATTCTTTTTACTTAATATCCCCTTAGCTCCTAACAACAAATTATCAAAAAGTTAAGAAATATTTTGAGTTTGAAATTTTATTTAATTTTTAATGTAGCTAATCCAAAATTAAATTAAATCCATATACATATGCACATCTCGATTAAAAGTTTCCTTTTAGTAATTCTATGCATGTTTGGAAATCCAAATTTTAGAATTTTTGTTTCTTTATTTATTTTTGATTATTTTTAAATTACAAAAATAGCTTGATAATTTATAAAAATAAAAATATTTTTAGTTTATTCTTTCCATACTAAAATATCTGAAACAAAAATTCTATCTCCTTCATTTTTTATTTATTTTTTTCTTCCTGTTCCAAAACAACTGTCTTTTCCATTTAGAATTTATTTAAGCTTTTTCTTCGTTTTTTTTCAATTAGATTGATTGTTTCTCTTTTTTCTCAAGAGAGAAAGGAACGGATATATATTTTTTGTAAAGTCCTTTCTTTCTCCTTTACGTCAAAAAAACTTTGAAAAAAGGGGAAAAAATTTTTTAAAAGACGGAAATTATAGGCAAAAGATTAAAGTTAAAATATTTAAAAATAGAAATAAATAAATAATTATTTTAAAAATATTTAGTTATTTTAAGAAATTGTTTTAATTCTTCTTCTTCTTTAGTACAAGCATACTTGTGTGTGTGTATTTTTAACTTTGATATATTTTTTGGTATTTTAAAAAAAAATATATTTTTTCTATTTTTGACAAAAATATTTATGTATATACCGTAAATCTTCTAATAGAAGTCGATCCTCTCGTAGGGTGTGCTTCTATTAGAAGATTTACGTTATTTTTAATTAATAAAAATAATAATCTAAATTTTTAACTAGAAATGTTTTTATATATTATTTTAATTTCACAATTAATTATTTTTTATCAATCCTCCCTTCCAAAATTTATTTTATAATTCATTAAAATTGTTAAATATTTTATTTAAACAATATTTTATCTTTAAACAATTAAAAAAGAAAAATTTTCTTTTTAATGATAAAGACAAAACACATTAAAATTAAAATAGGTACTTTTTTTAATTTATTATTTTAATAAAATATATTTTTCTTTTATTTGGCAATTAATTTAAAATAAATATTTTTTTATCAAAATTTCAAATCAAAAACTTCAAACAATTTTTTATATTAAAAATTTAATTAATTATGTTAACTAAAAAAAGAAGAACTAAATAGTTGTTACCCTTATATACTCAAATAATCACCCAGGGTATGATTGTTGTTTTCTCCTCACAATGGTGGGTCCTAACAGTCAGAGGTGACGGAAATCGGAAATCAAAATTTTTTTCGGAAATCGGAATGAAAAAAACGTCGGAAGTTGGAATTCCGACCCACATCTGCTCTATTCGAGCATATATGGTAATAATTGTTGTTTTTGTTAACTTTTCTGAATTTATTTTATTTTTTCCTATATAAATAAAATTCATTTTTAATTCAGTTTTAAATTTCTCAATTAATTTTCTTTTAATTTTCTGATCAAAAAATATTTTTGGTCGAAGAATGAAACAGTTTCCCCTTTCAACTAATTTAAATTCCTTGTTAAACACTCTGATTTTAATTTTTTGTCATTTATTTTCTCTAAATTTCTTTTTTTTTAATTTTTTAAATTAACCGATTTAAATCTTTTTTTATTTGAACAAACCCAAATATTATTTTTCGCAATACATATATTTATTTTATTTATTTTTTAACTAAAATTTTTTTTTAATTCTCACTCCTCTTTTTTGACTTTATTTTAAATTCTCGATTCCTCCCCTCTCTCTCTTTCTCTCTCTCTCTCATTTTTTTATTTCCCTTAATAAAAACCAATGTTCACCTCCTCTTTCTTTTAAATTATTTTCAAAGTTTCAAACACAAAATATATTTTTAACTAGACAAAACTAAAAAAATTAAAAAAAAATTTTTTTTAACCAATCAATTATAAGTCCTTTTTCTCTTAAATTTTTTTAAAATGTGACAACCTTTTCCCTTTAATTTATTGCCAATTATTTCAACTAGAAATGATGAAATGGTAGAAGAAGAGAAATTCATAGTCTAATAATTATTTTAACTTTTTCTGTACTTTTTTATTTCGGAAATGCAACAAAAAGTAGAGGAGAGCGGGCGGCTTTTCGAGACAACAATGGAAAGATAGGGAAAAGTTCACTTTAAAAGATTAATTTGATTAAAAAAATTAAAAGGGAAATTAGATAAAAGGAAAAATGAGAAAATAGTTGAAAATTTTGTAGAGATTATTATTTTAAATAAAATCATTTAGTTTTGTCAGCGCCCCCCCCCCCCCCAAAAATTTTATTCTAATTTATTTCTTGATATTTTTAAAATAGTTTTTTCTCCATGTTTTTTTAACTTTTTTTTTCTTAACTTTTTATTAATTTTAAAATAACCTTTTTCCTGAAATATTTGGATTTTTAATTAAAATTCAAAAAAAAATATTTTAAAAAAAGAATAGAAGATATGTGAGGGTGGAAAGGGAAAGAAAGAAAGATAAATATATAGACAATCAATAAATATATATCCTCTCTCTAATTATAGCCCTACAATAATTACTTCCTCTTAAGGGCATGAAGAGAGGTGATCTCTTATTTCCTTCAATCGTCTGCCTATTTTTGTCTGCTTCTTCTTAAAAACTCGTGTTGCCATGCTTTTCTTTGTTATTTTTTCTTCCCTTCCCTTCCCTTCTCTTCCTTTTTTTTTTAAATTTTTAAAATTATTTTTTCATTCATTTCCCCTCTCCTCATTTTGTTTTTCCCCACTTCAATTTATTTTAATTCCTCCTTTTTTTCAAATACTTTAAGTAAACTCTGTCCCCAACATTCTTCTTCCCTTCTTTTATTTGTTTTGTCTCATCTTTAGTTTTTTGGTCCAATCTTGGGTCTTTTTTTAAGTACTACATACATAATATTTTTTAAAAATATTATTTAAGTTTTTCGAAGTGAACGGAAATTGTGAAAATTGACAAAATAAAAAATATTTTTTAAAATAAAAATATTAGGAGACATAAATACATATTTTACATACTATATATTTTTATTTTAATTTAAAATTAATTCTTTTGTGTTTTATTCTTTTATACATATTATTTAAATAAATCTAAAAACTTGTGTGTATTTATGTATAATAAAACAATAAATATTTATTTAAATCTTAAATAATCTAGTATTATTATTTTCCTTTTTATTATTATATTGTCTCAATCTTCTACTTTTTTTGTTTTTATTTTTTATTTATTGCGTGGGTTTATTTTCTAATGTGTTTTGTGCACTTTAAAATATTTGCCCAGTGATGGGGTTATCTTTTTTTTATTTTTCTAAGAATACCGAAAACAAAGAAAAACGCAAAAAAAATAACAACAAAATAAAAACAAATATTTTTTATCTCAAAATTTTAATTTTATATTTCAGAATTTGTTTTACTTATTCAAGAAATATATTTAAATATTTTTAATAAGGTTACACCCCAAACTACCGCAAAGCTATAACTTCTTTCAATGAGGTCGGATCCGAGACGCCCTAGTATGTTTCGATTCAGCTCGCCAAGACGCTTCGAACCATACCAAGGTGTCTCGGATCCGACCACTTTGAAAAAAGTTATATCTCTGCGGTATATTGGCCTCGCGGTACATTGGCCTGCTCCTATTTAATAATAACCCTATTTACTTAAAATTGTTTTCTTGTCTCGTTTTTGTGTTTATTCTATTCGAAAATGTCAGCCGTTCAACCAAATGAACTTTTATTTTTTTTGTCTATTTATTTTATTTTTTTATGTGTTTTCGTTTTTTTTATGTTGTTATTTTGTTTGTTGCCATCGTCCCCGGACAGCCGGCTGTTTTCCGTCTTTTTTTCCTTTCTTTTTTTCATTTAAATGGGTGAAAGATAGAAGAAAAATAATAAAGTATTAAAAAAATAAAAGAATGTATATTAACCTCGTGAGTAGTCATCGTCTGTCTAGTAAGTATTTTGTTTTTGTCCCGAATTTCCGTGCACGCGTAGAAAGTGCCAAATAAACATAAAAAATAAAAAAATAAATAACCTTTAGACGCGTCTAGTTTTTTTTTCAAAGAATTTTCTGTTTGTTTCTTTTTTTCAAATGTTGTTATTGCACTTTTCTTTTACTCAAAAATGTTTTTACTTATTTTTAATGTCTTGGAAATTTTTTGAGACATTTTTTTGAAAAAATTTAAGCGAAGGAATTCTCTTAAATGGTTGATGATTGTATTAAGGCTCTAATAACGACCTCTCCTTCCGTCACACAAAAGTAGGTCGGAATTCCGATTTCCAACTTTGATTTCCGATTTCCGGCTCTTCCGATTTTCGACACTTTTTCGACCCACTTTTGCCGTCACATCCCTCCCTCCCTCTCCCCATTCGTTTAGTCCCGAGAGTGTCATTATAAAGAGCTTCGACTGATATTCCCTTTAATTTTTTTTCAAAGATTTTTTCTGTTTTTCAAAATTAAATATTTTTATATATGTATAAATACATATTTTTCTTAATTCTTAAATAATTTTTTAAATAAATTTTAATTTTTCCTTTTAGCTTTATTTTCTAAATTTATTTTTAAATTTTTTAATTTCCGTTAGACTATAATTTCTTCTTTTTTTCACAAAACATTCACGTCTTTAGTTTTTCTTTAATTCCTTTTCTCCGTTCGCGCATTGGCATTTAAAATAAATACTTTAAATACTCCCTATAATTTTACAAAAAAAAAATTTTTTTTCAAAACCTCACGTCCTTTACTCTTTTTTTAATTCAAAATTTACCAAAAAATTCCAAAGTATTAGCATCTGTCCTTAGCAACGAAGAAAAACTCCCCAACACAAAATATATATTTTAATTATTAAAATCTTTGTCTACATACTTTTAAAAAGCACTCAAAATATTAAAAAATATATATGTATTTATCTCTGTCTAAAATGTAATATTTTTTTAATTAAAAAGTATGTATCCACTAAAGAGACAAGCAAAAATTCTTTTTTTTAATATTAAATGTGCGCATTTAAACATTAACAAGAAAAAATGCAAGAATATGAAAATCTGAAACACAAAAATTAAATAAAATTAATTAAATAAGTCTAAAATAATTTTTAAATAAATTCTAAATTTAATTACCAAGAAATAAAAAAATATTTTTTTATTTGCGTAGTTTTTAAATATATTTATTTTTAAATTTTATTTCCTCTATTTCAGACTACATTTAATAATTTTTATTTTTTATTTTGTGTGAGAATAAAAAATAAAAAAAAATTAATTTTTAGAAAATTTAAATACACGTCAAATAAAAAAATAAATTTCCCCTTATTATTTGATTTAAAAAATATTTTTAGAAAAATACAAAATTTAATTAATTTAAATAAGTATTTGTTATTTTTAAATTATACGTCTCTATTCATTTCTATTTAGGGTTGGGGTTTTCGAGTAGGCCCGGAAAATTTTTTCCGGGCCTCATTTTTTCGGGCCGGTCCGACCGAATCTTTTTCGGGCCAAAATTTGATACCCGACTCGATCTTTCGGACCGGACCGGGCCCCCTCCCAACCCAATTTCAATTATTGTTTTCATTTTATCTCTTCATGGACTTTATTCTTATACTTCTCATAAATATTATTATTTTAATTACAAAATTATTTTTATTTTTTATTTTTAGTATTTAATTTTAGTTTTTCTCCACTTTTAAAAAAAGTATATTTAAATTTTTTTTAATTTTCTCTGTTAATCCCTTTCATTTAGATATTTTTGTATTAAATAATTTTTTAAAATTAATTTTAAAAACTTTATCAGACATTTTGCAAATTATTTTAAAAAAGCTTTTTAAAGTTTTTTAGATTTCTATTTCGTATTCTCAATTTCTTTTTTAATTTTCAACGCCTCTTTGCTTTAAATACATATTAGCTACTTTAAATTAAAATACTTTTATTTTATTTAGAAATACATATTTTTTAATTATTTAAATTTTTTTCCATTTTTATAGAAAAGGAAATAAAAATAATTTAAAAAATTTTTTTATTCTTAAACTTTTTTAATTTAAAATATACAAAAAAAGGAATTAAATAATTTTATTTTTTTTTATTTATTTAAACAATTGTTTTCTCAAATACTTGGAAATTAAAAAAATATATACAGTGTGTAACAAAACTATAAGCCACCCAAAATTTTTTAATTTCTTAAGGTTCTAATGAATGAAAATCTTCTAAATTTTAACCCAATATTGAAAATGTAATCTCAAGCTAAAATTAAAAAAATTTTAATTAAAAATTTTTTGATTCTTTGCTTGAAATTACATTTTCAATATTGGGTAAAAATTTTAAAAATTTTCATTAATTAGAACCTTAAGAAATTAAAAAATTTTTGGGTGGCTTATAGTTTTGTTACACACTGTATTGCAATATTTTATTCCTTTTTTTCAATTTTCTTTTTAATTTTTTATTGTCCTCAGTCATGTGTTTTATACAGGGCTCTCATTCGTGCTTTATTTGAAAGTATTATACTTTGAAACCGACCTCCATACTTAAGAAATTGAATTTATACTTTATTGAAAGTATATACTTTGAAATCAACATTTTTGATTGAGAATGAAATTGGGGAAGGGATTGGGCAAAAAAGTGAATTTTTTTAGCCTTGGGCCTTCGAAATTATCAAAATTTTCGCCTGCGGCGCTGAAAAAGAAAGAAATCTGGCTTCTTGGGATCCGAATTTCAAAAAAATTTCGCCTGCGGCGCTGAAGATGGGAGAAAGTAATTTGCTTGAGGTTAAGACTGTCAGGGCTTTATTTCTTGTATCAGCGAATTTTGACATGTCATGCGTTGAAATGCACAAAATGCTCAGTGGAAGCAAGAAATTATTAGAAAAGATTCATTTAGGAGAGAAATATAAAAGATTTGAGCACGAATAAATATTCTCTAATTTAATTTGGAGTATACTTTAAATTTGGAAATTTTCTCCCTATATACTTTTTTATCAAGATTTTGATACTTTTGAGTGGCATTTTGTCGATGAGAGCCCTGGTTTTATATATTATTTTAATAATTTTTATTTTGAAAATTAGTCAAAAAAATTATTTTGGAAACACCTGCCTATTATTTAAATACATTTTAATTTTTAAAAAAAGTTTTTTAAAAATTCAACAAAAAATGTATATTTTAAATATTTATTCTCTCCAATTATTTTTATTATATTCAAAGAAATACTTTAAAATATTAAATTAAATTTGTTTCTACTTTTCACCTGTCAATTAAATGTTTTTTCTAAAAGATATTCTTTATAGTAATTTTTGTATAGAAACAATAAAAAAATTTTTTTGAATTTTTTACTTTATTTTTAATTTAATATTTATTTTTTAAGAATTTAGCTAGGCTTTTTCATATTCCTAAAAGTCTTGTAAAATTTATTAATCTAATTCTTTATTTATTTAAAATTGTGCTAATTTTAACTAGACAATTTTATTTTTTAATAATCTCCTTTCTTCCTTAAAATAATAATTTATTTTATTTTTAGGTTTCACTCCAAAAATATTCACTCATCCATTCATTTCCAACCTCTTTATTTTACTCATTTTTGTTGCCCAACAATTTTTCCCGAATTTCCCTCAAGCATTCGCATCTTTTCTTGTTATTTTCTTTTGTTTCTTTTTTTTACGAAGACACGCTTATATTAAACAATAAATGACCTAATTTACCTTTATTTTCTATTGTTTTTTCCTGTTTTTTGTTCATAAAAACATCAAAGCAACAAATATATAGAACAATTATTTTGAGGGAAAAACTTTGTGTTTACATTTATTTTTCAACTTTGTGGAGATGATTATTGTTGTCTCTTGTTTTTTTAGTTGAGAAAACAATAAAGGAATTAATAGAGTAATTGTTTTTTTTTGGAAGAGTACAATAGAAAATTGTGTTTGTTGTTTGTTGAATATACATAGGAGGACAATAAACTTGTACCTATATTTTCTGTTTGGTCAGTTTTTTTAAAAGAAATTTTTTGATTCATTTTAAATACTCCTTCCTCTCTATTTATTCCACAAAAATATTTTTAGTAAATTAAAAATTATTTTAAAAAATATATTTTTTTATATAAAAACAATTTTTAACGTTTTTAATAATAAACAAAGAAATTTTCGGAGTCTTTTCTTCTTTGTTGTTTGGCCAAAAGTTTAATTAAAGTAGAGAACTTTACAAAAATTGGGTTAAAGAATTAGGCCATTAAAAGAATTAAAAAAATAATTTTTGTAAAAATAAAAAGACAAAGTATTTTCGCGAAGAAAGTACAAATACTTTGAACAAAAGAAAATTAATTTAAAAAAATTATTTTTAATGAGGGCATTGTTTTTGTATTTTTAATTTTTTTTGTTGTTTCTCCCCTTGTCTTTTTTTTAATTTTAATTTTAATTTTTTTATTTTAATATTTTTGTAGTATTATTATTATTTTTATATTTCTCATTCCGCCCACTCACTACTTCTCTTATACTGTTTTTTTATTTTAAAAAATAAATATATATATAAATGATTGAACTTGTCATTTTATTTATTTATTTATTACGTGTTTTTGTAACAAAAAAAAATTAAAATATTTATTTATTTTGTAGAGGCAACTTATTATTTTTTAAAAATATTTTTGTTAAAAACATTTCCTGCTTTACAAAAATTTATTTTCTTTTGTAAAATTTAAAATATTTTCCTTAAACAATTTAATCTTTTTTTTGGATTTTTTAAAAACTTTTTTTAAACATTTTCCATTAAATATATTAATTTTTAAGTGATGTTTTTAATTTAAATAGATATATTTCTAAAATATATTTTTTTAATTTTGCACCTTAAATAAATATATTCATTCCACTTTGGAATATTAAAAAAAAGATTTTTAAAATAAAGATTAATTTAAATATATATTTTATTAAAAAAACTTCTCTTTTTGGAAAAAAATAATTTAAAGGATTATTTTTAAATATAAAATATATTCTTTGGCTTTATTGAATGTTAAGTAAAGCCGCCGATTTTTTGTCTTTATTTAAAATATATTTTTTAAAATATTTTATTTTATTAAAAATATTTTTAAATAATTTATTTAAAAGCAACAATTAAATGAGGGGGTGTTTTTAAATATATAATTTACAAAAAATAAATTTAATTTCTTTTTTGCACCTTAAAAGAAATATTATAATTTAAAAGAAATGACGTAAAATACTTTTTAAAATTATTTAAAGCTGAAAATTAATTTTTTTTCTTTTTAAATAATTTTCTTAGAAATTATTTTGTATTTATTTGTTCTTTGTTCTTAGCATGCAATTAATGACCTTTTTTTATTTTTTTTTTGTAAATTTAATTAGTTTAAGTATTTTCTCTTGTGTTACAATTTTTAATATTTTTAATTTAATTTTTATTTTCGCGCATTTTGTATATTTTTTTATTAAAATTAATTTAATTTTTTTTTAATTTTAAGGAAAAAAACATTTATTATTTTATTATTATTTTCCAACAATTATTTTTTAAAAATTTTGTGAAGGTGGAAAATAAAAAAAAATATTTGGAAATTTAAATATATTTTTATTTCAACAATTTTTTTTTGTCAAAAAATAAAATAAAATGATGGATTCAGCCAGTCAATTACTTTTATCAGCTTCCCCTCTACAATTACATGCTGCCATCTCTGTTGCTGCAGCACAAGCAGCAGCAGCTGAAGAACAACAACAACAATCTTTGGCAACAGCAGCAGCTACAGCAAAAAATGCAGAAATTAAAATTGAAGAACCTGCGGGAGAAGGAAATGGGGGAGAGGAAGCAGCAATGCCTAATTGTAAAATATTTATTTTGGGGATCCAAATATTAATCATTTTTATGGATATATTTTTACTTAGAAATAAATAAATTTTTAAAATAAATAAAAGAATAATAAAAGAAATAAATAAAAGAAATAAATAAAAATAAATAAATTTTTATCCGTTCTCTTGACTATAATTTTAACTTTTTTATTTATTTAAGCCTCTGCTGCCCAAAGTCCCCGTCAAACCAACAATGCTCTAGAAGCAGCTTTTAATCTTAATTTTTTGTTAAAAATGGAAACAGATTCTGATGATAAACTTGCACCTTTGGAGATTAGTGAAAGTATGTCTTCATTGAATGGTTCTTTGCAGACAAGTCCCACAATAATTACTTGCAAAAGTAAATTTTAATTCGATATTTGATTGGGGATATATTGTTTTTAGAAGATACTTTTCAATTCTCAGATTTTATTCCTTTTTATTAACTTTTTCCAAATTTCAGCCCCTCCAGCAAATGGAAAGTCAATGCTGCAAGTTATAAAACCTCCTGGAGATGAAAAAGAAGAAAGACCATCATTAAGTTACAAAGATTTAATTATCGAAGCTATCGAAAGTAATCCGGATAGAAGATTAAAATTAAGTGAAATCTACCAAGTAATTAAATATTTACATCCGTATTATCAAAGAAGAGCCGATCAATGGGGATGGCAAAATTCTATTAGACACAATCTTTCTTTACATGATTGTTTTGTTAAATTGCCATTAAAACAGACTAGTGCTAATGGGGTTGTTGGTAAGTTATTTGTACTTAACTTTTGGAGAGAGAGATCATGAAATTTATAAAATGTTAGATTGTAATTTCTTAGAGGGAATAGAAAACAAAAAATTCAAAATTCTTATCCGTCCGTTTCGATTAGACTTATTTTTCCTCATAATTTTTAAAATTATTATTTAAAAAATCATTTTTAGGTCATTTCTGGACTGTAGTTCATCGTAACCCTGAAGACAAACAAGGGCCAACAAGGAGACGTTCTCGTGCAAATGGCACAGGCGGTGGACCTACTGGAAAAGGGTCTAGAAAAGTAGGAGGGAATCAAGGTCATCCAGCATCCCAAGTTGGAAATGCTGCTGGAGGGAAGGCAAAAGGATTGAAAGGAAGGCAAAGTGTTAGGTGAGAATTGAAAAATGATAAGTATTTTAAAAATTAAATTAAAATTTTCTAGCCTTTCCCACCTCTTCAGCTCGGATAGCGGTGTTATGAGTGACGATTGTGGTGGTGGTACACAATCTGGGGATATTAGTCCAACTAATGGTAGCGCCTCAGTTCCGGCTTCTTTACTGCAAATTAATACCTCTTCTGATTTATTGACTCAAACAAACAAATTTCAAGTAAAAAATTTTATTCCTTTTAAGGAAATAATTTTAATTTTTAGCCTCTTCAATCCCCTCTGGCTTCAAATAGCCTCCAACATTCAGCATTACAATTAGCGTTGAAACAGCAAGCTGCTGCTGCTCTTAATTTTAATAATAATGGAATGAATTTGAATCAGAATAATGTAAAAAATAATTTCTTCCCCGAAAATACCTAACAATTATTATTTTAGCTTCTTTCCCCTCTCGAACTTGTTTTGGGAAGTCAAGCTGTAGCTCAGCATTTACTTGCTGCCCAAACACCTCAACATCACCAACAACAACAACAATTATTACAATTTTCTCCAATTCCTGGCAAAACAGCCCCTTCACAACCAGCATTATTAGAACAACATTTACAACAATTATTAGCTATTGCTGCTGGAGCACAACAAGATCAATTATTAACTCAGCCAGAAACACCTGCATCTGCTCCTCCTTCTTTACCTGTAATATTTTTTTTCAATTAAAAAAATAATTTTTATTTTAAAGGCCAATCCATTAGCACCAACAACTTCTAATTCAACATTAGCTACAACACCAACAACAAATGGAGGAGGGTTAAATCTGCTCAGTCAATTAGCTAGCCAGTAAATTTATTTTTTTTTTGTTTTTAATTTAAAAAATTTATTTTTAATAGGGCATTAGCTTCTACAAGTCCACAACCTACACAACAACCTCAACAACAACAAGATCAAGCTTCATTAGCAGTTGCAGCAGCTGCTGCGGCAGAATTACAACGTATTCAGTTGGTTCAGTTATATGCACAACAACAGCAGGTACTAAATTATTCTTATTAAATAAAGACAAAAACATTTTATTCAAAAACACCTTCAGTCAAAATATCCTATAACCAAAATAGCCTCATTTTGAACTCACTGATTTTATAGCTCTGAAAAATACAAATCTTATTTAAAACCATAAGGAGGTTTGTCTGTAAAGGTTTCCACAAAATAATACCTACTATACAAACAAATCACTTACAGACAAATCACCTTACAAGCAAATTTTTTTATATATTTATACACATTAATTATTAAAGTTACAACAACAATTAGCCCTTTTGGAGCACACCCACAGAGAACATTTAAATCTTCGTTTACTTGGTGGACATCGTCATAATGATTTTCCTCATGGCCATTCTGCCCCTCTTAGTCCAGTTGTTCACGATCCATTAACAACAACTTTAAATCGAAATAATCCTTTACTTCTTAATTTGGCAGCAACAACAGCCCCTTCTTCTCCGTCAGTTTTAGCAAATGAAAATGGGAGGAATAATTCAAATAATAATCAGTCAATGTTAACACAATTATTATTATCAAGATTATTTTCTTCTGCTGCTTCTACAAATAATAATAATGAAAATAATAATTCAACAAATGTTGAACAAGTAAACAGAAAAATAATTATTATTTTTAAACTAAATTCCTAATTTTTAGCAACCAACAACTAATTTAACTGACAATTCCCCACCCCCTCCATCATCTGTCCCCGCTGTTGCACACTCTCCTGTTGCTGAAAGTGTTAATCAACAACAAGTAAACTTTAAATAATTTTTTCTGAAAATTTTATTTATTTTCTTTTTTAGGTTGAATTACAACAAGCAGCTTTATTGCTTGAACGTTATCAACAGCAACAACAACAACTTTTGTTAATTGACCAATTCCAACAACAACAGCAACAATTAGCAGAAGTTGGACAACTTCAAGCGCTAACTCAAGTATTTGGAACTGCAGCAGCTGCTGCCGCCGCGGCTGCCGCTGTTGTTGAACAAGTCCAAGAGGCACAACAACAAATTGCTGAGCAACAAATTGTTGAACAACAAGAGAGTGAGGAAGTAGTTTCTGTTGTTGTTTGAGAGTTTTTTAAAAAATAAGACAAAATCCTCAATTTTTCTTTACCTCTTTTTTTAAAAAAAGGATTATTAAAGAATAAGATTTTTAGGTAATATGTAACCTATCAATTATCCTTTTTTTTATTAATTAATTTAACTAGACTAAGTAAGAGAGATATGCTGCCACCAAAATTTCAACCATTTTATTCTTTCTTATTTTCTTTTTTTATTGTCATTCTTAAATTTATGTTAAATATATCTACCTCGATTATAAACTGAAAATGATCCCTTTATTTCCCCTTCTCTTTTTAATCATCGACAAGAATTATTGCTACAAAATAAAATTTACTAATTTTTTCTATTCCAATCAAAAAGAAATTATACTTATTTTTGGAATTTTTTTTAAATTAAATTACCTAGCTTTTTTGTATTAGATTTTTACCTATTTTTAATTTTTCTTTAGCATTTAAATATTGTTATAATTTTCTGTTGAAATTTGTTTGGAGAAATTGAGACTGCTTACAAGTTACATTATTATAGTTTTCCCAACAAATCTAAACAAACCACACACAGTCTATCCCCGGTGGATTAATGATTCGAATTAATTACATTTTTTGTTACTTTTTTAAAATTTCTTTTGTAAATATTCAACAATTTTTTTTCAATTTTGTGTTTATTTAGTTAAGTGTGCTTGAGCAATTTTAACAAAATCATTTTCATTATACAATCCATTACAAAAAAATGCGAGTAGATTTTACCCTTTTTTAAATTACTCCTTCTTTTAAACCTCTACACTAATTGTGTTGTAATTATATGAGATAAAACAACTTTGTATATAAAATACCCCCTTCTATACACTCTAAATCCTCATTTTATAGTTTAACTTATAGAGCTATTTATTTTGTTTAGTTTTAAACATTTGAAAGAAAGAGAACTTTAAATGTTCCGGAATCTTGTCTGACCTTCCGGAAAAGTTTCTGTAACCACTCAGATATCCATTAAAAGTTCTCTTCTCTTAATATATTTCTATTTACCACTTCCTTTTAAAAAATATGCGGTAACAAATTTGTGTCAATCACTGAAGCGAATTATAGAAACGGGAAACGATCTATTAATCTTCTTCTAAAATTGAATTTTATATAAATATAGAAAATTTTGCAGTATCAATTTGTTTTTACATTTTTTATATTTCATTTTTATCCTTTTAATGAATAAACTTTTTGTGTGAGATTTTGATATTTTTAACTTGGGAAATTTTTTTGCGTAAAATGTGGTCGAAATCCACTAAGAAAAGTGGTCAAGAAATAATAACCAAAATTCTATAAACTTTTATATAAAAACAAAAAAATAATTTAAAAATATAAAGTAACAAACAATCACCAATATCTAAATGCGCAAAGTGCTAGTGTAGCAGGCGCCGGCAATGAAGTTAATTTAAGAGGGTATTTTTTGCCAGTAGCTTTTCCTCGAACATTTTCTTCTTAAAATTAAAAAGTACTTTTTATAATTCAATATTTATTCACCCAATATTTCATCCTCGTCGTTATCACTCGACGATGAGGAAGAGGAAGATAACAAATCGGCAATCTCATTATTGTTGTTAATTTCCACATCCGTATCTTCACTTTCAGAGATTGTCACGTTTCTGTGTTTATTTAGATGTGCAAAAGTAAATGGACCAGCAGGTTCAGATGGCGCTGAACGGACTACACTTTCAGGCTGAAGAAGTAAATATTTTCCAATAATTAAAAAAAACACAAAACCCTACATCAACATTATGGAAAAAGCATCGTTGAAACAAATAATTCTTTTCAGCTTCCTCTTTATCAATAACTTTGTTATCACGTTCTCGTGCTCTTGTAAGCTAAAATAGATTTTTATATACCGTATTTATTCTAAAATAACCCGAGGGATTGTTATTTCGATCGGCTTTTAGAGGGGGGCTATTTTAGAGGAAATACGATAATTTAATTTATTTATTCAAAAAACTTACTTTATAACAAAATTTATATAAAGGTATATTATCGTTGTTAACATTATTTGATTTATCCAAAGAAATTGTGTAGCGAAAACGTAAAGATTGAAATTGTTGTTGGCTATGAAACATACAACGGCCAAATTGTAATAAATCATTTTTTATTCTATTAAAACTAAAAAATATTTTTAATTAAATAATTAGAAATAGAAAAAAGTTTTATAGACGATTCTTAAACTAAAATTTAAAAAAGTTTTAGTATTTCAAAAATATTTTTAAAAAATCTACTCTAACTACCAACCTTGCTCTTTCAAAAAACATAGATTCAACCATTTGAAAAACAAAAAATAATAAACGATCAGTTTCAGAAACAGAAAGTGCCAAATGCCTCAAAAGTTTAGCAAAAGTTTTAGAAAATTGTTTTTCTGTTGAAAGTAAAGACATCGAAAAATAATTAATTTTTAATTATATTTAAATAATTTTTTAAATACTTTCATTGATTTTGTAGCAAGTAAAGGTGATATAGGTAATGAATTAATACGAATAGCTCCTTGATGAAATGTGTTTTTAAGGCCTCTATCGTCGAAATCAGGAATAACAACTGCAATATTTTTGTGATATCCAGGAGGGTAACGCTAAAATAAAAATAAAATATTTTTATAATTAAAATAAAAAAATTTATTAAAGTCTTGAAAGGAAGATAGTAGGAATGTGTTAATTAGGAATGTGACTACAGTCAAATCACATAGCACGTCATACTATTAACATATCTCCCCTCTTATCATGTTGGCTTAATTAGGTCTTGACGTCTTATCAAAATTCGCCACGAATAAAAAAATTGCAAGACTTTTTAAGGGTCAGACTTTTAGTATAAATTAAATTAAAAATAGTCCAAAAGATTAAACTCTGCCTTATAAGCATTTGCACATGGAAACATTTTTAGAATTATATTCCGACCAGAAGAGGATGGAGATGAATTTTCAGGTGAAGATAATTCTAAATCCAAACTTGAATCATAAAATTTATGGAAAAATATTTTCCTTTTATTTTTGTCAATTCCAGATATTTTTGCATTTTCGTTTTGAATATTAGAATTTTTAGATGATTGATATTGAAGAGGAGCTGAAAAATAATATTTAAAAAAATTTTATTTTACATATTTACAGTGAGGTGCAAAAGTTTGGAACATTTACTTTTAGATTGTTTAATCAATAATTTTTTATTCAAAATATAAGTTCAATATAGCAATCGAAAGCTCTATTCGTATCTCAGTTGACATGTTTCTGCATTTTTCATGAAAATGAAAACTGGCCGAGATATCCGGATTAAGCCGGATATCCCAAATCCTATATCCGCGGAAAAATTTTTCGGAAAATATTTAACAAACCCATTTGATAAAGCATATTTTTATGAGCATTTACCACAAAACCGCTTAGAAATATCTTTCTCCGGACCAGAGATATGATTTTTTGAAAATGGCAATTTTCGTCTATTTTTGCAAAAAATTCAATTTTTAAGGGAAAATTGCCATTTTCAAAAAATCATATCTCTGGTCCGGAGAAAGATATTTCTAAGCGGTTTTGTGGTAAATGCTCATAAAAATATGCTTTATCAAATGGGTTTGTTAAATATTTTCCGAAAAATTTTTCCGCGGATATAGGATTTGGGATATCCGGCTTAATCCGGATATCTCGGCCAGTTTTCATTTTCATGAAAAATGCAGAAACATGTCAACTGAGATACGAATAGAGCTTTCGATTGCTATATTGAACTTATATTTTGAATAAAAAATTATTGATTAAACAATCTAAAAGTAAATGTTCCAAACTTTTGCACCTCACTGTATTTCTTACTAAATAATGCTTCTTTTGACATACTCAAATTCATATTATCTGCAGACAATAAAGGTTTTGAAGGTGCTGGTGATAAATAGGTTGGAAATAAATTTTCAAAAATATATGGTTGAGATTGTATACGAACCTGAATAAAAAGATTTTGAAATTATGAATCTTTTTCGGAAATTGGGAAGGGAAGATTCTTAATCCAAATGCATAAATTATGAAGATTTCTGTTTAATTCATAAATTGATAGAGAATAAACACTAATTTTCTAATTACAAACTAACAGTATTAGGTATGCACCCTAAAAATGGGTTTAATCTGCTCCACGAAACAATCCTCATTCCCAGATGTGGTCGGCGAAAAAGACTAACTAATAATGATTCTTGAACACTGCTACGTTCAAATTGATCACAATAGAAACTGAAAACAAAAAATTTCCAAATTATTTTTAAATAATTGACCAACTCATTATTCAACACAATTTTTGGAGAAGTTCCTTGCCAACAATGTGTACGCATCTCCAACTGAGTCAACCATTCCCCAAAATTAAAATAATCATTTTCCTCATTCATTTCTTCATCTTCTATTAATTGTTGTTGTTTTGGTTTTAAATTATATTCTCTCTGATCATCAAGTCCAAAAAATAATTTTAAAGCAAAAAGAATAAGTGCAGCTGCTTTTACTTCTGTAGGTAATGGAACGCTATATAAAAAACATTTAATTCTGTCTGATCCCTTTTTTCTCAAAAATAGGCAAATAATCTCATAAAAATATTTTCTTTTCGTGTTGGTAATTAATAAAAATGTAGAAAAAATAAAAAAACTCACAAATGCCAATGACTTCCATATCGAAGAAGAGGATTAATATATCTATTATTTAATGTTCCCTCAACTTTTTCCCAACATTTTTGACTTTTGTTAGCGAGAAATGCTCGTTGAAAAAATGAAACAAATCCAAATCCAGAATTGTTAGTACGTGAACGTGAAGTTAAACATAAAAGATGTTGACGAAGTCTAAAAAATGAAAATAAATTTTTTATTTTTCTAGAATATAAAATAGAAAAAGTGTATTTTTGCTGAACAATAAATTTTGAAAATTATTTTGAAATTTTTATTATAAATTTTCACCAACCCTCCATCAATCGGCTGCACATAGGAAAAACGTTCTGAACCATAATCAACATTAACAGGTGGCAAAAAATTTAAAATTGTCATTAAATGTTTGTTAAAAGCAAGAGGTAAATTTAAATTATAAACAAAACGAGATAAAACCTTTAAAAAATAATTTTAATTAACCCAAAAAATTTTTTAACTTTTTGGAAATCCGTTGTTTGAATAGAACGAGGAATATTAGCAAATTGTGTAAGAAAAGAAAGAACACGTAAAGACTCACTGACAGGTTGAATCTTAAAATTAAAATTCTGTCACTTTATTTTACAAAAAATAACCCCCAAATAGGGCACATTATATTTGCTTCTAACATAAAAACGTCGATCAACATTGAGACTTGACACTAATTCTTTTGAAGGTGGTATGTCTTCCTCACTCCACGAAGTAGAAAAATTTAAGGCGAGAAGTTGTGAACGAGAAATATTGAATCTTCCTTCTCGATACCAACTTTTTGAATATTAAATATATTTACAAAATAATAAAAATAATTTTACCGAAAAATATCAGAAATCAAAACCCAATTACAACCAGATAAATGTACAGCCAAATATAGAATACAAAAAAGTAAATCTATACCCAAATAGATATGAGCTGCCTAGAAAAGAGAGAGAAATAATTTTTTTAGTCTAAAAACATAAATTAATTTGCTTACAATTAGCTAGCCTAAGCAATAAGGTTGTCAGATAGTTGGAAATCTTCGGATATCCGGATCCTATGTCCGAACCAAAATTTTCGGATATCCGGCCTTTTTTAAATTCATATGCGACAACCTTACTAATCAAGGATAAGTTATCATTACTGAACCCCAATTTAAATTTAAAAAAAAATTCAAACCATATTTACAGCATCAACAGACAGACTAGTTTTAATTCTTTCTACAAACTGGACTTCCTCTAATGTTGCAGCTATTTCAGCCTCTTCCTCTTCTAATACTTTCTTTAAAGCTTCATCTGTTGAGGTTAAATCCATCCAAGCATCTGATTTCTCTTTCTTGTCTTTTTGTAAAAGTTTTCTTAAATTAGCTGCTCGTAGTCGATTTTGTCTTAATTTACTTTCAATTTCCCTAAAAATATCAAGTAAATTTTTCTTTAAAAAATAAATATATTTACGGCTTTCTATGCTTAACAAGAGGACAAAATGATTTTGCTGGATCATCAGTTGTTTCCTCTTCACAAAATGCAATGCCTGCACGACGTAAATAAGTGTAAAAAATAAATTTTGAGTTCTCCTAAAAAATTATAAAAAAATAATGTAACTAGGTAATTAATAAAAATTTTAATTTTATTTACAATAGAATTAACCAACCAAGCATTTTTCTGGAACATTAAATTCATTAACCAAAACAAAAGAACATTTAGCTAAAATCTTCGTTGCTGTACATAATCTTATGCCTAATTGATCAAGCCAAAAAGGAAAATCTTCTTCAGGAATTGCACGTTCAGTAATAAAAGGATCTAGTATTTTTATGAAATATTTGTTAGATTGTTTTAAATAATCAACCTTCACGAATCTTTTTTAATCTCTAAAAATTTAAATTGAAAAAATTAGAAAGAATTGATCCGAACCTCACGCTTGTTTAGTTCATTATCTCGATCTTTTTTAGGTCTATTTATTCTTGCCCCTTGCTGGCCATATGCACCAAATTCTTGTTCAGTTTCACGACCCTTTAAAAAATATTTTCTAATAAATTATAACGGTAAATATTAATCAGATAGGCAAAATTTACAAAAGAAATCAAAACGTATCCGTAACAAAATTCAATTAGAACCTCTTGTTGTGCACCACAATCTGCACAAAAATAGTAACCAGCATCTAATACAACTTGACCAGAACCACAAACGGTACACTCGGACGGATCAGGCATTAAATATTTTCAAATAAATTAAAGACTAGTTAAATTCTTTTAATTATAATTTTAATAAGTTAACAAATATAATTATCAAATAAAATTAAAAAATAACTAAAATCTTTTAATTTAATAAATTCAAAATTATATGTAAGCAACATCAAAAAATAAATGATGGTCAAGTCTTTAAATAAAGATATTCAAATAAATTGAAAGTCAACAATTTTGATAAAATTGAAAATCGGTAAAAGTAAATCATTTAAAATAGTGAGAATGTAAAAGGCATGTAAATACATTCCTAAAAATGATTTCTCAAATTGATTTTCACAAATAAAATTTTTAAGGGCACAAAAACTTTTTTAAGAAAAAATGAAATTGTCCATTATAAAAAACAGAAATTTTTATTTTAGATTGCGGGTAAGAATTAAAATTTTTAAAAATATTTCCTCGTGAAAAATAGTCAAATTTAACTTTTATAGCGCTCCATTTATATCTTATTCTTTCTAATGTCGATTCAATCCAATTCCACGTCCTCGTCGAGCCATTGGTCGGAGACGTGCAGCTAAAACTTCGTGAGCATTGTTGGCAGCAGCAGAAGTATGAGAAGCAGCTGCTCTACGATGGTGACTTCGATCAGTAGCTTGACTTGAAGAAGGAGCAGTCTAAAAAAGTAAGAATTTTAGGTGAAAAATATTGAACGGGTCCATTCCAAAGCAATCATTAATAGCGAAAACTAAAAAACCTGATCAACATCCATGGACTCTTCTTTTGTAGTTCCCGATTTTTTAGCAGCAGCTTTTTCATTTTGATCGATGTGTTTCTGCTTGCGAATAAACATTTGTAGAGTCTCTTGTGACAGTCCTTCCAAAAACTTTTCATCCATTTTTCTTGGGTCCAACTTTTGCATTATAACAGACTGAAAAATATTTTGTTTTGTCTATAAAAAAACTAAAAAACCTTCAGTTGAAAAAGTCCGTATTGGTCTGCCAATCTAAGCCGTTCCCCAAGAGCCATTTCAGCCTCGACAGCCACCAATAAACGCTGCTCGCAAATCGCAGTAACCATTGGAACGAAGTACATTCGAGCAAATTCAAGTAAACCACGAACATATTTAACTAAATTATTTAATTATTAAACTAAAATTAATGACAGTTTAATGAAAAAATAACTTTGTGGCCGATGGCGCGAAGGATAAACAATTGAAAGGAATTCATTAAAAACACCGTGTTCAACAGAACGAAGTTCAACCTCACCGGAAGCACCTTCTATAAAACCCGTATTATGAAAGAGAGATTGAAGAGCGTCAGAATGCATTGAAAGAAACTTTAAAAAATAAAATACAAATCAAAATTTAAAAAGGTAAAACCTCTTTATTAACGTGGTAACGATGAATCATATTACTACCGTCGACAATTTTAACTACAGCGTTGGACATTGGTGTTTTCTTTCCAAAGTCATAATAGGGGAAATGACTAAAAATAAAGAAAATCATCTAAAACACAAATCCTCTAACCTTTTCCTAACATGATGAATAATTATTTCCAATTTAAAAATGAATTGTCCATTCTTGAGATAAGGAGAATCGGCAGGTGCTGCTGATCCAGCTCTTTTAGTTGGCATAGGAAAGCGTTTGATAAATTGATGGCTACGTTCATAAGTATTGAATTTGCGCGTGAAAATCTAAAAAATATAAAATTTAAAAGGTAATGTTAAATAAAAAATGACTGAAGGTGAAACAACCAAAAGGGGTCACTTTAGTACGTGGGTCCCGGAGTTAATATACAAATGTTATACCATTCGAAAGAGCTCGTCGAGCTGAGTCGAACGCCACTAGTTTTAGCCCGAGGAAAAATTTTTGGACCGAGATACAGGCGATTGAAAATCGAAAAATCATAGGGGGGACCAAGCACTTTTTTGGGGTGAAAAACTCAAAAATGCAAATGATAACTCATTCGAAAGAGCTCCTCGAGCTGAGTCGAATGAGACCAAAATCAACGAAATCCGACTTGATTGGACTGAGATATAGACCCCTAAAAACCGAAGATCCAAAGGGGCGATTTTTGGAATAAAAAATTTTTTAAACAAATAATAACTCATTCGAAAGAGCTCGTCGAGCTGAGTCGAATGACACCAAAATCACCGTGATTGGACAAAATTAGACTTAGTTATGACACAAAAAACCTAACCCTATAGAGCGTCGGCGAGGCGCTTGTGCAAAACCCCGCGCTTCGCGCGGGGTTTTGCGGCACGCGCCTCGCGGGGAGTCTACGGGCGCTGGGTCTGGGCTCGTAACATAAACCTATTCCTAATTCTCTTGCTCTGGTCGTATTTGGGCCTCTGTAGTAGCAAAAATCTCCACAGATGCCATAGGTAAGGAGCTAAAAGAAAAGATCATAACTTTGTCCAATCGAGTCGGATTTCGTTGATTTTGGTGTCATTCGACTCAGCTCGAGGAGCTCTTTCGAATGAGGTATCGGTAATAGTTCGGTTCGTACCCCCCTCCTTTTTCCGTCCTAAAATTATTAAAAAATGGTCAGTCAGTCTTAGCTTATAGAACTCGTCGAGATGTTTCGAAAGACACTAAAATCAAACCCAGGTCTTAACTTTGGGCCGAGATACAGACAAAAACCCTGCGCAAAGATAAAGGTTTTGCAAAAGCGTCTCACGACTACAATAGGATTACTTTATGCCATAACTTTGTCAAATCTTGTTCAATTATGTTGATTTTGATGTAATTAAAATCAGCTCGACAAGCTCTTTCGAATGAAATATTATTTGTTTAATCGAATTTTTAGCCCGAAAAATGAGCTTAGTTCACGCTATTATTTTTCAATTTTCGTGGGTCTGTATCTCGGCCCAAAGTTAAGGCCTGTGGTTGATTTTGGTTAATTCGACACAGCTCGACGAGTTCTATAAACTATGACTCACTGACCATTTTTTAATACTTTTAGGAAGGAAAAAAAGGGGGGGTACGAACCGAACTATTACCGAGGTATCATTTGCATTTTCGAATTTTTCACCACAAAAAAGTGCTTGGTCCCCCCTATGCTTTTTCAAATTTCAGGGACCTATATCTCGGTCCAAAAATTTTTCCTCGGGCTAAAACTTGTGGCATTCGACTCAGCTCGACGAGTTCTTTCGAATGGTATAACATTTGTATATTAACTCCGGAACCCACGTACTAAAGTACAGCCAACCAAAATCACAAGCAATAACACAGAAGATCACACCATAAGAAACACAAAACTCGGATAAAAAATATTAAACCTCTTTGTGTTCAGGTTTTCGCTCAGCCTCGGATTTTCCTTTCATCTTCTCAGGCCATTTTTCCATTGACAAAACACCAGATGCCTTTGCAATCCAATTACTTTGCTCGGTATAATCGCAACGCAATGTGACCTTGATAAAATGAGAAACTTGTCCTACATCTCTGTCTAATCGATCACGTGCCAAATCAAACCCTTTCTGAAGTTGGAGGCGCCTTTAAAACAAATTAGGTAAAGTTAATTTTTAAACCAAAAAGACAAACCATGGTAAACAACCAAATTTTCGCTCTTGTGACTCATAATATTGATTAACCCCGTCTGGGACATCCTTCAATGCGGCAGTTACTTCAATAACACCAGCATCAACATATTGGCTAGCTTCAATTAATTCCTTTATTCCTTTAAAATTCCCAATAACTTTAGTCCTTTGAAATGAACGTCCAGGCATTTAAATTTTGATATTGAAAAATAAAAATATTCAAAAATGCAAGTAATCTAAAAAATATTTTAAAAATTAATACAGTTATACAAAAGTAATTGCGCGTCTATAGGTAAATGCTCCAATGTCAGTGGTGATGTTAAAGCCAATATTGAAGGCACCGCAATTACTTTTGCCCCCTCTAAATTTAAGTGTATTTGGTTTAACCGTTGATAAATATTTATTTTATAAATTTGGTTTTTTTAGATTTGTGCTTCTCTGAAAGCCCATAAAAAACTGAATATATTAATTTAAAGTTATCAAAATTAAAAAATTACCCCCTAGCAATGAAATTAAATGAAAATCTATAGACGCGCAATTACTTTAGTGCACCAATGTATAAAATTTCAGTTAACTAAATTTAGATTTTTCTGAAAATTTTCCACGAAATAATTTGTAAAAATTTTTATTTAAAAAGAAATTAGGTAAAATGAAATTTTTAAAGAGAAAAATCTCAAACTGTTCCCTATCAAAATGAAAATATTCGTTACGCCAATAACTTCTTTGCCAAAAATCATTTCGCCAGCTTCTAATTTTTGCCAACTTCTAATTTGGTCACAGTTCGGAAGGTTCCCTTGTAAGTAAAAATTAAAGTGGCAATATTTCAGGAAGGAAGGATTAATTTCTGAACATTTACATTATTTGTTTGGAAACCACTTTTTTCTCCCTTTTGTCGGTATCTGTATGAATATTTCTTAAATGAATTAAATTTTTTGGATTGTAGAAAGCAAAAAGTGGCAAAAATTGGTCAGATATTTTGCCTTTATTTTCTTTGATTTTTCCGAAATTCCATATTTTAAATTAAATAGTTTGGGAATGAATGGAATTACAAGGACTAGTATATAAATAAATAAAAATTAAAAATAAAATTTTACTAAAAAAATTACAAAATACATTTGTAAAAACCCCCTAAAGTGGTATTTTCCTAATCTCTCAATAGTCAATCCCACTCACTCTCTTCTAATTGGCTCAGTTCTAATTACACCCATTCTGGTAATTAAATTCCCTATTTTTTAGTTACAACAGGACAAGAAGCAACAAATCTTCCTTTTTAGCACTGAATTTGGAAATTTTTGGATTTCCTTAAGTCGAGCGATTTTTGATTAAAAATAAAAAAACAGTTCGAAAAAATTATAAAAATTCAGAATTTTCTCAATAAAAAATTTAAATCGAATTTAATCGAGAAAAAATTATATATAGCCGAACTCTAACAACACAACACATCTTTTTCATTCGCGCGTTGGTGTCAATTGCCCATTTCATTTTTATTATAAAATATTTTTTGTTCTTCTCTTTAAAATGTTACTAGTAAATCCTTTTCTTGTATCAATCACCTCCTTGGCTTTGCACGGTTTTTACTGTTTTTATTTCCACCCGCACTTTTGAGACTGAACACATTTATAAATTATTTAGATTTTTCTAGTAAAAATAAATTGAAATTACAAATGAATCAAGAGAAACTTGCTAAAAAGATTTAACCCCTTAGGCAAATTCTTGACTTTTCTCAAAAAAAATTAATTCAAAATATTCATATCTATTTTATCACTTTCTCTCTTTTATGTCCAGTAAACATTAATGAAGAGAACCAAAATCTTGAAAGAGCTAAAGCTTTATAAAAATTTATTTTACTTCTTTGTAGCCTAATAATCTTTAAAAATTAATAAAAATTCCTCAAAATTTAATTCCAAACTGCCTTTCTCTTTAATTTTTTTAAAATTTTTTTAACCGTCAATGGCCTTCATTGACACATTAAATAACGAAAATTTATTCCCTTCTCTTTTTTTCTTAGGCCGTTTAAAACTCCTTTTTGCTACATCTTTTTACATTTTTATTCCCCTCATTTTGATGTTCAGATTTATTTATTTCCCTTTACCCAGGGCTCTCATCGACAAAATGCCACTCAAAAGTATCAAAATCTTGATAAAAAAGTATATAGGGAGAAAATTTCCAAATTTAAAGTATACTCCAAATTAAATTAGAGAATATTTATTCGTGCTCAAATCTTTTATATTTCTCTCCTAAATGAATCTTTTCTAATAATTTCTTGCTTCCACTGAGCATTTTGTGCATTTCAACGCATGACATGTCAAAATTCGCTGATACAAGAAATAAAGCCCTGACAGTCTTAACCTCAAGCAAATTACTTTCTCCCATCTTCAGCGCCGCAGGCGAAATTTTTTTGAAATTCGGATCCCAAGAAGCCAGATTTCTTTCTTTTTCAGCGCCGCAGGCGAAAATTTTGATAATTTCGAAGGCCCAAGGCTAAAAAAATTCACTTTTTTGCCCAATCCCTTCCCCAATTTCATTCTCAATCAAAAATGTTGATTTCAAAGTATATACTTTCAATAAAGTATAAATTCAATTTCTTAAGTATGGAGGTCGGTTTCAAAGTATAATACTTTCAAATAAAGCACGAATGAGAGCCCTGCCTTTACCCCATTAAATCATTTCGATTTATTCCTAATTTTAATTTTTTGCTCAATTTGTCCATTTAATTTTGTTAAAGATTTATTTTAATTTTTATCAGTTTTTTAAAATTTTTTACAAAAATTTATTTTGATTAACAATTTGGCCAAATTATTTTTTGATTTTCTTACTTATTGGCCAAATCTCATAGATTTATTTTCTTCAAAGTAATGCTAGATAAAGCCGGACTCGAGGGTCGTACGAGAATCGGCATCTCGATAGCCGAGATTTTCTTCGAGATCTCGTCTCGGTCCGGGCTATCTAAATTTATTAAATTTTTTTCTTTTCCTTAAAAATAATCAAATTTTTTCAAAATTATATTTTGATATCCTTAATATTCCTTCTCTCTTTTTTTGATATTTTTACTTGAAACAACTAACTACCTAATTTAAATACATATCCTCTAAAATAAAAAAGAAACATTTCCTGTTCATTTTATTTTCTCAAGCTCATCAAAACTTTCATTTTGACGGCATTCAAAACAAAGTAATAAATAAATATCGGGGACAGTACAAACATAAATATAACTACATTTTTTGATTTACATTATTGCTTTACATATATTTTAAAAGAAAAACTAGTAAATAAATAATTTTATTTTAAAAAAGTTGTTGTGTTTTACCGTTGTTGATCTTCACTTTCTTTTCCCACGCTTTTTAATTTTATAATAAAAGTATAAGTACATGTTTTTATATTTTCTCAGTAATGCCACTAAAAAATAATAAAAAAAGGAAAAGTCGGTGGCATATAAAGAAGGTATGTAGAAATTGGATTGGGAAAAGATATATGTATTTTTGTTAAATTTAGTTTATAGAGGACACTTATAGTTAGTTGCTTTACTTTAAATTATTTTTACAAAATTAACTATTTAAATTTATTTTTTAATTTATTTGCTTATTATAAAATATGTAAAATTTAATTTTGATTAAACTTTCAAATCACGTCAAGATTAAATTATTTTTCTCATGTTTATTTTCATGATTTTTAGGCCAACTTTTGAATAAAATTCGAAATATTATTTTTATTAACATTTTTTAACTATTAGCTAGCATAATTTAATTTACTAAAGTTTAGTTAGTTACTTGCTTTAAACTAGAATTTTTGTTAACTATTAGGTAAGTTTATTCAGATCCAAAATCACTTTCAATTATATTTTGGCAATAATAATTAATAAAAATCCCGAAATCTTTGCTAGTAAAAATGTCAACTTCTTGTTAATCACAATGAAAATTATTTTGTATTTTGATTGTATCCCAATATATTTTATATAAAATATTCTTAAACTTTAGTTTATTTTAATTTTTCTGAAAATTTATTTAAATATTTTACACAAAATTTTCGCGGTTTTCTTAATTTAAAAAGTTTTTTCTGTCCATTTTTATTTTACATATTCACTTCTCTTTATTTGAACGATTCATATTTTTTTTCAAAATTATATTCACTCTTTTTTCCTGAAAGAGAGAGATTGCGTTATTAGCTGACACTTCTGGGAAAAATAAAAGAGAAAATCGAGGGGGGAGAAGGTGGTTGGTTGTCTCCTTATTTTCTGCTAGAATATATAAATTTATGTAAAATGATGATCACATCTTTCATCAATTTTTTCTGTTAATCATTAGAGGAATTTTATATAAAATAAAAAATATTTTAATATTTTTTTAATGTTTGGCATTACCTTGATTTAGAAAAAATTTTTTGTATTCATCTACCTCCTCCCTCCTCTTTTTCAGCTTTGTTTTTAATAAATAATCGGTTGTTATTAATAATTATTTTTATAAATTATTCTCTATTTACTTGTAAAAGAAATCAGGCAATCCGAACTCTCTCCCCCCCCCTCCCCCAACAAATTTTTAGTTGAATCATCCAACCACTTTTTAAATTTAATTAAATTCCCCAATATATGTATTTTTGGCAAAAATTGTTGATTGGGGTTATTAATAATATTTTAAAATGTATACTTTTTAATAATAATTTAATCAATTATTTCATTAAAATTTTACTAAAAACTCCTTTAATTTTACTTTGTAATTAATTTAATTAAACCTTTTTGCAAAATAGTAATTAAAATATAAAAATTCTTTTTCGGTTTATTTTTGACAAAAAATTATTTTTTTAAATGCGCGAATGATAGCGCCTTCTTTTCTTTTATCTTTTTAAAAGTTAGAAAATTATTTTTTTATTTAATTAATGCCTTTAGGAAATTACGAAAATAATTTTTATTTTTTAATCGTTTTAAATTAATTTTAAAAAATTAACTTTAAAAATGCTTTTAGTTAAAAAACTATATATATTTTTTTAAATATTTAAAAAAAATTCTACAAATTTTTGAATAAATAAATTACCTGGATATATTTTTAAACACAATTCCCAAGCAATTAACTCATCAATTTATTCGCATTTTATACTTAGTGTCACATTCTTTACCCTATTTAAAAGTTAGGTATATGTATATTCAATTTAAATTTATTTTTTTTGGAAATTAGTTTTATTTAAATTATTATTTTAAAGGAATTATTAATTTATTTAGAAATAAAAACAGAAATTTTTACGTACTAAACTTTTATTTTATTTTAAATGAAATTTCAATTTTTATTTAAAATTCAATTAAATAAAAAAATTTTAAAATCCTTTGATTATCTTTTCAAATCCCTTTTTAAAATATTTTTATTTTTATTTATCTAGCCCCGCCCCCTTCCGTTTTTTGCCCATCCTTTCTCTCTTTCTTTCCTCTTTTGGGTCATTTTTCTCTCCCATTTACCCCAAACCTTTCAATTTAAACCAACTGGCCAATTTATTTATTCACCTTTAAATTGCTTCTTCTTTTTAGTTGATTTGGGTATTTTAAATATTATTTTTGCTTAAATATATTTGCATTAAATATTTTTATTTATTTTTTATTTATTTCCGAATGATTTTTTCTCTAATTTTTCTAAAAATTTCTTTACTAGATTTGTGTTTTTCAAACCTAATTTTTCTTAAATATGTGTGATTTTTAAATTTTTTTTGCTATTAGCTAATATATACTAGTTTCTGTCTCCTTTCTGCTTTAAACTTATCAGAAACATTTAAAAATTGTTTTCACCTTTGCGGAAATTCCCTAAAAACAAAGAATTTTTATGGCACTCATATAAATGACGGAAATTTATTTTAGGCATTTCCGCCTTTCTCCTTCCCTATTAAGAAAATGTTTTGGCATGAAAATTATTTTAAATATTTGTAATAAATGAAAATTGGCTGAGTTGATTTTACTAGTTTTTTAAATTCTTTGAACGTTAGCTATAATTAGAGCTAACCAAAATATAATTTTTTGATATTTATTTTTTTTGAAAAATTCTTTTACGAACTTTGAAAAGTTTTTTTAAATTATATTTAATCAAAAAATAATTTTTTAACTAAAATTTTCTCGAAAATAATACCAAAAAATATACATAAATTTCCCAAAATATGCACCGATATGCAATTAAGTACTGAAATATACATACATTAAGAACCGGATATTAAAGTGTTCGAATCAATGTACATTTTTGGAATTATCATTTCGAAATATTTCCGAATACAAAACATACATTTTTGGACCAGCCCTAGTAATTAATTATTAAAATAATTAATAATTTAAATATTTAAACTCAAAAAATTCTTTTTTGCTATTGTTAATCACAGAATCTTTTTAACTCCGAAACTGCCTTATTTTACTCAAATATTCACAAAAATAATTTTAATTTCTTTTTTAATTTTTAAAGAAAAATAATCACCAAATGAAAGATCGATTATCATTTTTAAATATTTATAATAATTTAATATTAAAAATTCTGATATTAATTTTGCTTATTAATTCTGTTAATTCTAATTATATTAAAAGAAATAAAAGATTAACACAAGGTAAATAAATAAATTTTTTATTTCTTTAATTACAAAAAAATATACATAGACAATAAATTAATAAAATAATTAAATAAATAATTAAAGTTGTTATTTCCTATAAACTTGGGCTTGATAAGGAAATGTTTCTGTTATTTTATTGATAAAAACTAAAAATTAATTTTAATATTTTTCTTATCTAAATTAATTAAATTTAAATAAAAATATTAATTCAAGTTTGGTCTAATAATAATGAATTGTCTTCTTCTTTATTTGATTGTCGTCAGCCTAGTAAAGAATGTTTACATGATGGAATTTGTTCAAAAAATGGATTGAATTGCGAGTAAGTCTTTATTTAATTTTTAAAATTAAAAAATACCTAAATATTCTTTTAATATTTATGGCAACTTTTTTTTATTTTCTCAATTTTTATTTTCTTATAAAATCATTTCCTTCAAGCAAAATAAAATTATTTTCTTTTTTTTATTGTTCTTTCCTTACAATAATAAAATAATTATTTTATATTCTCATCCATTCTAGGCAATTTGTTTTATAAAATAATTAGGGAGGGGGAATTTATTTTGGAGAGATAGGCATGTCTGATTTTTTTTCAATTTTACTTGAGGCTATATTTGCTTTTTTGAGGTTAAAAATATTTTTAGAAAATTATTTTTAATTTTACAGATTTTTTAAATTTAAACTTTACTTTAAAAACAGACAAAAAAACAAACAAATTTTTGTTAAAATTAGCATAAACATATTTTTAAAACAAAGAAATAAACATTTTTTGTATTAATTTGTTAAATCAACCAACAATTTTTTTAATTTTTTTTTGTGTAAATCAATGTTGCTATTTTACATAGTTTTTATTTAAACCTTTGGGGGAGGAAAAGGAGGGATGGATTTTAGAAAAAAAATTTTGAAAAAAAACACAATGAGAGGTAAATAATATGTTTTTTTGTTTGTCTGTCAGAATAAAAATAATTTATGTAAATTAGTTGGAAAAATGTTTTGTTTAGAAAAATAATTAATTAATTGTGAGTTTTAGATAGGGAATAATTCTAGGCAAAATTAAATTATTATTAAAGTTTGAAATTTAAAAAATGGGGGATTTAGGTTTTAATTAGTTTATTTTTGAAGTGGAAATTTGGAAATGAAAAAATTTAGTATTCCAACACTAATAAGCTTTCGAAAGATTTATAATAATACCTAATCAGAAAAAAAATAAAATTGTAACCCCCTATCTTTTTAACCTAAAGTTTATTCATTAACTTACTCGGTACTAAAAAATATTCTAATTACTACATCTACATAATAAAAATACTTTTTGGATTCCAAACTAAAAAAATAAAGGGAACAGTTGTATATATTTATTTAAATGGTTTTGTGGATTATCCTCTATACTTTCCAGAAAATCCAATAAAAATTTTTCTACTTGAAAGTGTTGCGGAGGAAAAAATGGCTTGGAATCTCAAAAAAAGAGAGTAGGGGAAAGGTTGCGCTTTTAAGGGTAATTTATTTAAAGGGATTTTCTTTTTAAAGCTTTTTTGGAAGAAAAAATAAATATTTATTTGTCGGTATTTTAAGGAATTTTTTAGTATTTCTTTTCTGGGATATTTTGACTCGAGAATATTTTTAGGTAAAAAATATATTACATAATCTCTTTAAACAATTTAAAAAATTATTTTTTATTTTGATTGAAGGTGCGAATACAGTAAATGTTCGAATGATTGCCCTCTATTATCCAGAGAGAGATTTTATAATTTTACCCAGTAGAGTTGTCGGTTCTAGGAAAATCTTCGGATATCCAGAACCGAACCGAAAGACTGAACCAAAAAATTTCGGTTCTTCAGTTCGGTTCGGTTCCCCTATTACCCAGGTTAATTATTTGAGCATTTAAGGTATTACAATATATAGAATCAAGAATTATCACAAAGATTTTAAATAATTAGGAGCGGGAGATTAACACCTCTTTACATACTGTTTTCTTTAAATATATTTACAATTAAAGAATCAAATAAAATTAAAAAACAAAATAATTATTTTTAAATTAGCTAGGTTTACAACCTTGCAACATAAGTTAAAATATTTTTAAGAATTTTTGTGGTCCTGAGAAATATATTTTTTTTGTCTTTATTTGTGTTTTTTGCATGAGGCGCCACCTTTCTTTTTTTATCAATTACCTCCTTTTTATTAGTAGTAATTGTGTGTAAATGAATAGTGGTGAATATTAGAATTACCCTTTACTTTTTTAACATCGTGGGAATTGGGTCAGTTTTTACTCATTAGATTTTTATGTTTATTAATTTGATGCTAATTTTGAAAATAGTAATGAAGTTGCTTTATTGCCAAAAATAATTATTTGCAGGCCCTTTAATTATTTAAGTACAGTAATCAGAATAAACTTTTTGATCTAAGGAAGAAGATTTTTTGAGCTAGGAAAAAGTCTTTAACTTTTGCTTGAGATTTTTGGGACTTACATAACTATTTTAACTTAAATTTTGATAGTTTTTAAAATTTCTTTCAAGTTTTTAAAAATATTTTCATTCCTTTTCAAAGTCAAAACTTTTTTCAATAAAAACTTTAAACGATAATTTCTTTCGATTCATTGCTTCCGCGGCATTTTTCTCTCCTTTTCTTCACTACTTTTTCTTTAAAAAACATTTTAAATTCTTTTTATTTTCATCTATTTATCCCCTTCATTGGTTGAATAGCGGCGATGATTCTAAGCATTAAAATAACTCTGTTGTGGAGGGGGGGGGGGTATTTTTGCGGCCATTCACCTCTCCATTCTCTCCACAAATTCATTGCTTCTTCCATCTCACTGTTATTGTCGCCGACGGGGGCACGGGGCCATGGGAAAGTAGCTTTTTTGTAAAAAGATGCAAAACTATGGAAGCGAAGGAGTTTTTAATAAACGAAGGAAGATGATCCCTGTTGTTTATGGAATTATATTGGATAGAGGGACTTTTTAGGTGAAAAATTAAAATATTAAGAGATTTAAGAATAAATTTAACTTGTAAAAATATTTTTATGGAAAAGAAATGAAAATATTTTTGTAGAATTTTTGGATATTTTTATAAAAATTGAATAATTAAATGATAAATAAATAAATATTTGCATTCTCTCAACATTTAACTTAATTTTATTATAGCTTTTGGGATTTAATACTAAGGATTTATCTAAAACCAGAAAATACCCTCCCCTTTTATTAAAGATCACTTTAATTTAATCAAAACTTATTTTCCTTCACACAAATTTTGGCAATATTTATTTATTTATTATCTTCGTGTCAACAGTTTTTTTGTTGGTGGCAACCCTTCCAAGCGTTATTTTTTTTACTCAACCAATGAGTTAATTGAGAACTTTCTTCTTATTAATTTTTGAAGGACATAAAAAGAGAGGAGAGAATATACTTTTTTGCATAACAACAGCGGGGGATATAAAATAACTGTTTTTACTTAATTTTCTTTTTTCTGTTAATTTTCTTTTTTTTTCCCAAGGCCCTCAAGGTCCTTTTAACTCACTCTTCATCATCACATTGGCACTTCACACCTTACATTTTTTACCAATCAAATTAATTAGATAATTTTGAAAGGAAGGAAAGAAATAAGAGAAAAATAATTTAAGAGAAAGTGTTAATTAAATTTAGATAAAAAATATTTAAAATTAAAAGGGGAGCTTAGAAAAAATGTGTTAAAGAGAAGAGAGTTAAGAAACAATAAGCTGTTTTAATTAATTTGTAAATTTATCATTGGCTCTTAGGTGAAAATATGGGTAGTATTCTACCACAGAATTTTTTAGTCGGATCAGGGATCTTTGATTCCGAATCTGAATCAATCTATGAGTTTTTCGAACCTTCTTTTTGTTAAATTAATTTTTATTAATTTCTTTTTCATTATTTATGCAACAATTCTCTCTCTTTCTCTTATAAAACAATAGCTTTTGTTTATACTTCTAATATATTTTTTTATTCCAAACACACCTAATTATATGCAAAAATCAAAATAATCCTTCCTGTATTTATTTATTCCTTGTCCCCAAACCCCTTATATATCTTTAACTAAAACAACAGAAGAATGTCCTCCAAAATTATTAAAAATAATTTTTTGGGAAATTCATGTGTCCATCATCATTTTTCTTATTAATTGGCTTCTGTAAATATTTTCCCAAGAACTCACTTTTCATTATTCATGACAATGATTTGTGTGAGAAACAAAATGTTTTGGAATTTAAATAAACATTTAATAATTACCTATAAATATATTTTTCTTTAAATTAAAATAAATTTAAAACTTAAAATCCGTAAAAATAAAATTATTATATAAAAAAATATTTTTCATTATTTATTCAAGTTGTTCCCCATCTCCAAATTGGTTTGGCAAACAATGTGAACTTCGTCGATGTGTCCAACTTTACAATCCTTGCGAGAATGGCGCTGCTTGTGAAAAAACAGAGCAATCATTTAAATGTCATTGTCCACCTGGTTTTGATGGAATTTATTGTGATAAACAACTAGAAACTGTTTGTAACAATATTAATTTAAATATTTGTGGGGAACATGGAAATTGTATTTTGGGACAAAATGTTAATGAATATACTTGTGAATGTCATTATGGATGGACTGGTAGGGAAAAAGATTTTTTTGTTAAAAATAAAAATATAAATCTATTTTTTCTTATAAAATTTATTTAAGCTTTTTACACAAAAAAGGAAATAAATAATGAATAAAATAAATATATCCATATGGATTCTAAAAAATAAATATTTTTTCCAAAAAAAGTTTTTCGTTTAATTTATTATTTTTTGGATAAAGAAAATATTTATTTAAAATAAAGAATATAAAAAAGCAATAATTTTTCTAAATAAAAATATTGAAAATAATGGACAAAAAAGGATATAAATATTCCTAAAAAAATAATCTTTCAATGGATGTTTTTTAATTTAAATTTAAAAAATAAATATTTTTTTGGCTAAATTTTGTATTTTTTTACAATATTTACCTATTAAATATAAATAAACATATGTACATACAAATACAATGGGTCATGGGAAAAGCAAACAAAAAATAATAAGAACTTTAAGGGATTTAGGGGAGGAATGATTTGAAGATTTATTTGGAGTAGTTAAAAAATACATAAATCCTTGAGTTAATAATTTAAAAAAACAAGAAAAGTAAGAAGTAATTGATGGATTAAATAATTGTGTTTATTTAGGAATTACAAGTTTTAAATAATCTTTTTTTGGATAATTAAAAATTTTTCAAAATTTTACAAATTAAATGACGATTTTTATTTAAATTTAGTTTCATATAAAATATAAAATATATCCAAAAATGAGATACTTAATTTGTTTCTCTATAAGTTATTCTATAATAAAATTTTCAAATTATGTAGTAAATAATTTTAATAATAATTAATTTTTATAGGTTCTCATTGTTCTGAAGTTAATCACTGTCAATTGGAAGATTATTTCTGTTTAAATGGACAATGCATAAATAATTTAAATAAAAATGTTAACGAAGATGGAAATTTAATTACACATTTTTGTGAATGTAGACATGGTTGGGGTGGTACTCATTGTGATTTAGATGTAGATGAATGTCAATCTGACACTAATATTTGTCAAAATGGGGGGAAATGTGTTAATTTAGTTAACAAAAATATTTTTAAAATTAAAAAATAATTTTATTTAAAAATTAGATTGGGTCTTTTTATTGTGAATGCCCTCCGAAATTTGTTGGACAATTTTGTGAAATACCTAATAGTATAGATCAGTGTCAACCTTCTCCCTGTCTTAATAATGGTACTTGCCATTTATCAATGACTGCAACAACTTCTAGTTGGGCTTTGGATGTAATATAAATTTTGAAATTAAAAAAAAATATTTTTAAATTAAAGGCAGACAAATTTAATTGGCATTGGGAATGTAATTGCCCTGATGGGATTGAAGGTGAACGTTGTGAGAGAATTGTTGATAATTGTATAACTGGAAGAACGGTTTTGTTTTTAATTTTGGAAAATATTTTTAATTTTTTATTTTAAAGATTTGTGTTAATGGAGGGCAATGTGTTCATCCATGGCTTGAAGTATTCGAGAATACTGGAAATGATAATGTAACAAAATCGGTTCAACAAAGATGGCATCCCTCTGAATGTAAATGCATGTCTGGATTTTCTGGTATTTTTTAATTAAATTTTTTAAACAAATTTTTGCGAGAACTTTTAATTTAGAAGAAAGATAGTCCCAAAACTAATTAAAAAATATTTTTAGGAGAATTTTGTGAACGAGATGTCAATGAATGTGAAGTTTATCCAGGGCTTTGTCAGAATGGTGCTACTTGTATGAATCGACACGGCACTTATTTGTGTTTGTGTGTTGCTGGATTTGAAGGAAGATATTGTGAAAATAATGTAAAGAAAAAATAAATAATAAAATATTTTTAAAAAAATATTTTTTAGATAGATGATTGTATTGATAATCTTTGTTATGCTGGTTCAACTTGTATAGATGGGATTTCACGATATACTTGTCTTTGTGCACCAGACAGGTGATAGAGTACTTAGATGATTTAAATAAATCAAAAATTAATAAAGAGTTGGTAATTTATGCGAATTTCCAAATCCCTGTTTCAATACTTCAAACAACAATAATGGACCTTGTTTAAATGGAAAATGTTATCCTGATTTTGAATTTGGTAATCATTCATGTCATTGTGATGAAGGATGGATGGTAATAAATAGAACAATTTTATAAAAATAAAAAATAAATTTAGGGACAGAATTGTGATATAGATATAGATGAATGTGCACATCCATTTACTAATAAATGTTCTAAAGGAAAGTGTGTAAATACTGTTGGAGGGTATATTTGTGAATGTGAAGTTGGTGTTCTTTTAAAAGATTTTTTAGAAATAATTTTAAATTTAGTTTGGATATACAGGAGAATTATGTTCTTTATTAGAAAAACATTGTGATTCTAATCCGTGTCAAAATGGGGGAACTTGTCTAAATAAATTGGGAAAATATGAATGTGTTTGTTTGCCTGGTTAATTCAAAGGAAATTAAAAAATAATAATTAATTAAAATTAAGGTTATTCTGGAAATAATTGTGAAATTAGAGCTTATAAAGAATTAAATAAATGTTATTTGGATTGCCAGAATGGAGGGATTTGTAAAAATGCTGATGATACTGAATGTGAATGCCTTCCCCCCTTTTCTGGAACTTTATGCGAAATGTTTGTTTGAATTAAATCAGAATTAATAAATTATATAGAAAATCAGAATTCGTTTAGTATTCATCAGAATATTTTCAGAATTTTAATAATTTATATTTTCTTAATATCAGAATAACCCCTTAAATTATAAGCCTGGAATACAAATAAATTAAAATCAGAATTAAATCAAAAAATTAATATTTTATTTTTTTTTCTAGTGAAAAGCCAGATCCCTGCTATCAAAATCATTGTGCAACAGACTCAGTGTGTGCCCCAACCATTGATTATACGTAAATTAATTTTATTAAATAAATTAATAATTTAACAAAAAATATAGTTCATATACTTGTCAATGTCCACCACATTTAGCCGGTCAATTTTGTGAACGTCAATTACCTCCTTGTGAAGATGGCTATAATCCTTGTGTTCGAGGAATTTGTCATAAAAATGTTTAAAAATATTTTTTCTTTAAAAATTTCTTTCTAAATATTTAGACTGAGGATATTGAACACTTTACTTGTGAATGTTTAAATGGATGGACTGGGCCTCTTTGTGATAAACAAATTGATAATGAAATTGAAGTTTGCCCTTTAGCTTCTAATCCTTGTCAGAACGGTGGGCAATGTGTTGGTGTTGATGGAAATAGAGGGAATAATAAAATACAAAAAATTGATGGAGGTACTGATTTTTAAAAATAAATAATACTTGGTTGGGTTTTATCCAAACAAAATTCTGCATTTACTATGAATTTTAATGAATTATTCATAGATAGATTATTTTAATTTGAAAAAGCTTCTCATTAGAGTTCGAGAATCAAATTCCTAATTGACAAATGCCTAAAAGTAACCTACTATGTGCTCTTTAACTTTGTTTTCTGAGCTTCACAAAAGACGTCATTGTTTTACATTTCCTCAATTTCATATAAATTTAGTCGACCATCAGTTAGGGGATAGTTGCCTAATGTAAGTGATACCTTCAGTTTTCTGATTAGTCTTCATAATTTATGATATACGAATAATTGTTGACATACATATTCGCCCCTTTTTAATATTATTTTCAATTTAATTTATTATTAAGGTGAACACTTATCAACACAATTTTTATCTTCCTCAACATTTTTTGAATGTATTTGTCCTCGTGGATTTACTGGCCCTCTTTGTGAAATTCTTCCAAAATCAACAAAATATAATTATGAAAATATTGATGAAAGGCAAAAATGTATTAATAAAGGCTGTAGAAATGGAGGAAAATGCGTGAAGAATTTAAGAAATGTTGGAGAGGGTAGGTATTTTAGGGAGGGGATTTAAACAAATTAACTGGAATAGTAAGTAAATTTTCTTTAATTCTTAGGAGATTTATGGACTTGTCAGTGTCCCCCAGGCTTTCAAGGTTCTCAATGTGAAAGTGAAATCAATGCCTGTTTAAATGGTAATTACTAATTATTATTTTTTATTTTTAATTAAAAAATATTTTTTCCCTCATTTTAGTCACGTGCAAACATAAGGGCAAATGTGTAAATTTGGGCGGCATCGACTTTCGTTGTGATTGCGCGCCTGGCTGGAGTGGACATGTTTGTGAAATAAATATTGACGATTGCGAGAATATGTAAGTGTAAATATATTTAATTTTAAATATTAAATTCACATGTTTTTATTTAAATTAGACATGTTTTTATTTTTCAAAGAATTTTAAACTTTTTTTTAATGTCTAAAGTATTAAAGTATAATAAAATATAATATTTCAAAATTTAGTGGGAATATATTTGTTTTTGAGAAAATTGAATTTTTATGGGAAAATTGTGTTATTTATGGGAATTTTATTTTTGTTTTGGAATTTTTTTTAAATTATTTTTAATATTTCCTAAGCTTTTCAGAAATTATTTTATTTAATTGCCATAAAAATATTTCCTAAAAATTGTCTTCTTAAAGATTGTCATTTTCCAAAAGCTACTAACGAGATTTAAATTAATTAAAAATTTATTTTTTAAATTATTTCAACTATTTTTCAGTGTTTGCCTTAATGGTGGCGTTTGTGTTGATCGTGTTAACAACTATCTTTGTGAGTGCGCTCGTGGATTTGCCGGACGGCATTGTGAGGTGAAGGAGGAGGAAATAAATATTTTTTTAATTTTCATTTCTTTGAAGCGAAAAATTAAAAAATAAAAAAAATTAAATGCCAGTAAAAAGTACTTACGTCCTTTTTATTAGTGCATTTATTTATATTTTTAATGCCCTTTTAAATAAATAAAAATATTTATTTTTAATTTTTAAAAAAAAGATTTTTGTCCCCGTCGACAAATTCAATCGAACGGATATGGTTGATATGGACAATTGTCGAAGACAAGGTTGTGAACAGAAAGCAACTAATGGGAAATGTGATCCAGAATGTAATTTATATGCCTGTCAATTTGATGGTAAAAAATTCTTTAAAAATAAATTCTGATTTAATTATTTTTCCTTGAATTTTAATTCTGATTTTTTATTCCTAGTTCCAACTTTTTTTATTCTGATTTACTTATAATTTCATTTTTATTTCTTAATTTTTGATTTTAAGGTGGCGAATGTTCAACCCGTCAAATAAATCCTTTTGAAAAATGTCCCCAACCAAGTTATTGTTCACATTCATTTTCAAATGGAAAATGTGACGAAGTATTTATAATAATTAATTAATATTTAATTAATTAATTTAAAGGTTTGTAATAATGAACGTTGTCTCTTTGATGGTTTCGACTGTTTGCCACGTCCGTTGGCAAAATGCCCGAGACTAGCTGAGTGTGCTTTGAGATATGCAAATGGGCAATGCGATCAGCAATGTAATATGGCAGCTTGTGGTTGGGATGTGAGAATTTAAATTTTTATAAATTTAAATTTTATTTTAAATTAAAGGGAGGTGATTGTGATCACGATGTAGAACCAGAATCTCATGTTTTGCTTGGAGAACTTGTTTTGGTTTTGGCTGTACAACCAGAAGAACTTTTCCCGAATTTATTGAGACAATTTTTGCTTTCATTAAGTTCGCATTTGCGAGTATCTCTTTCACTTTCTGTTGATGAGGAAGGAAAGGTAGAAAAATTTTAATGAAAATAAATTTTAAAAATTTTCTTTAAGCCAAATCTTTTCCGTTGGAGTCAAGATTCGGGAATTGGAAAACGAATTGATTTGCCCCCAGGAATGAATGTTACAACAATGTTTAGTGTACATTATTACGATTCTGATATTGTTGTTGGTGAAGAGGAGGGGAAAAATAAAAATCAAGTTGTTCAAGATAGAAGAAGAAAAAGGAATTTAAATGGTAGGTTTGGGGGTTTCTGTCAATTCTTGATTATTTTAGAAAAAGTTTTTTGAGTAAAATTTTTTCAAATCTCCCCAACTTTTTTCGACTCTGAAATATTTCACCTAAGAGTAGAAGGCAAAAAATACAAATAATTCAATGAATAATTTTAAAATTCTCAGATATTTCAAAAAAAGAAGGAGTTGCTTTATTTTTACGTGTTGATGTTACAATGTGTAATTTATTGGATTCTTCTTCTTCAAGTACTTCAATGCCCAGAATTATACATCAACACCAAATACCAGAACATCCACACCGACATCACCACCACATTTACCATTCAAACAATAAACTTTTGGGTGTACATGAACCTTGTTTTTCACATATGGATAGTGTGGCTGCTTATGTTGGGGCAGCTAATGCGAAAAAGGCAAAATTTTAATTTCTTATAATTTTTTTTAATTTTCTGAGAATGATTGAAATTTGTACTTTTTGAGGGTATTTTTGGTAATTTTTATATAAATTTACATTATCCTTAATTTTGTATTCGGATTATTTTAAAAAATGAAGGGAGGATTTTTAAAGATAGCTTAAATAAAAAAATCCCCAAATCCCTTTAAGAAAGATTAATTTATTTTTGTTAACTACCTAATCGAAATATGTTTTTCGGATTAATAGTACAATAATGCCCAAAAACAATAATGCCCAATCTACTTAATAGAAAAAGATTATTTTTATGCCTTGAGTTAAAAATTTTAAATTTTGACGGAAAAATGGCCCCCATGTAGTTTTGGAGGCGGTGTATTAAATAAAAGGAGTTAACATGAAAACATTTTTAAATAAATCAGGAGTGTGATTTTAAAAAAACGGTCGTAGGGAAAGTTAGAGAACATATGGGAGAGTACATTAGAGAAAATATTTAAAAATAAATAAAATACATATTTACGCCAATTTAAAAATTTATTTTTTTCTTATTAAAAAAATAATTCAATATTTTATTTTAGGCATTACAAGATATTGGAGTGCCAATTTTACAAAGTGAAGCTCGTCTTTCACCTCACAGTTCTTCAAAATCTTTTGGATTTTTTTGGTGTGTTCTTCTAACTTTGATGTTTTCACTAGTTATCGGATCTGTAATTATTATTCGAAGACCTAAAAATAATAAAATGAAAACTGCAAAAACTTGGAGACCTCCAATTGTTGAACAACCAAGTTGTGAGTGAATTTAAATAATCAATTGATTGATTAAATAATATTTTTAATAGCAAAATATGGTTCATCATCAACTCTCGCCAGTCATTACCCATTACCTCCACAACAACAACAGACTTTGAGAGCATCTTCTATTTGGCCAAATTATCCAGTAATTAATTTATATTTTTAACAATTAAAATTATTTGTGTAGGTAGCTTCGTCTAGTAGTTGTGCTTCTTCAAATATGCCTTTAATGATAAACCATGCAGTTAGCATGAATAGTCTTTCTAATCAAAGCAATATTTATAGGTAAAATAGAAGAATTAATTTTCTTTTTAAAAAATTAATTTTAGTCAACATAGCCATCCTCAACAATATCAAAATCCTGTCAATTCGATGATACAAATATCAAATAATAATAATAATAATCAATATCAACCACCAAACAAACATTATCGTCAACATCCATATCTCCCACAACATTCATTACAACAACATTCCTCAACATTACCACGTAATAATGGAAATTGTTGGACTACAGCAACAACAACAACTGCTTTAATTGGAGAAAATAAAAATTTATTGACAACTTCCTCAAATCAAAATTTAAATTCTTCTATTCATTATAGACAACAACAACCACAATTGTTGATTGGAGCAACGGGGAATGTTAATGGAATAGCTACTTTGCCTCTTCCAAATAATAATGCAAACAACATCTACAATAATCAACAACAACAAAATATGCCTTCTTTAGGGAATGGAGGAGAATTAGTAAATGTACCTATATTTTCAGGCGGTCCGTAGCCAGGTGGTAGGGGGCGCCTTCGGCATAAAAAATTCGGCGCAGAAATATTTTGCCCCTTGCCCCCCCCCCCTCCGGAAAAAATCCTGACTACGGGCCTGTATATTTTAATTATTTTTTGCCAAGAAAATTTTAAAAATTAGAATTTCTTTTAGCCGTCTACCCACCCAACTACAACAACTATAGCAACAACTACTATAGTTAATAACAATAACAATTCTTCTACTTCATATTCTCGTTGTTCTTCCTCAGGCATTGGTGGAAGCAGCACAGAACATTCCCCTTTAGGTCAATTACTTCCTCTTCATTGTTCTTCTGCAAATATTGTTGTTGACCCTTCCTTGGTTGGCAATAATAATGAAAATGAAGAAAGCTTGTTAAAGCTTATTAAAGAACTTCAAGATTTTTTAATGTTTAAAAGACGAGCATTACTTGATTGTAATTCTGAAATAATATCAAAACTTACAGCTCGCATTGTTTGTTTTTTAATTTAAATTCTGATTTTATTTTGTTAAGTTTAAGGTAAATTCTACAAATGAACGTGGACGGACATTTTTTCATTTATTATTTCAAAATATGTTTTTAATGACTGCAAACGATAACGAAACTGATTTACTCGCTAATATTGACTTACTTTTTAAAAGCGGGGTTTCTATTGATGCACAAGATCATGGTGGGAATTAGAAAAGATATACAATTACCTTTTTATCTTTTTTTAAAGATGGGACAACTGCTCTTTCTTTGGCTGTTCGAAATCGAAAACTTCGAGCTGTTGAATTAATGGTTGAACGTGGTGCTGATGCTAATCTGCCGGACTTGGATAATAAATCTCCTTTATACCATATTTGTGCAAATTTGTCGACTGAAGAGGATTTAAAAATTGCTGAATTTTTAATAAATAAAGTTGCTGATTTAAAATTAGATACTTTGGCACGTGAAACAGAAACACCTCTAATTCGTTGTGCGGCTCTTTGGTAATTTTGAAATTAATTTTTGTTTAATTATAGGATTTTTTAATTGAATAGAGTTGTCGGTTCTGGACCGAACCGAGAATTTTTCGGTTCGGTTCTTATGTTCGGTTTCGGATATCCGAAAAATTTTCAAGAACCGACAACCCTATAATTGACGAATATTTAAGCAGTGAATCAGAATTTTGAGATTAAAAAGAATTTCTGACATGAAAATTAAAACAAACTCCTCTTCAATCATAAAAATTAAAAATTTAAGAAATTAAAAAATTCAAAATTTAAATTTTCCAAATATTTTCTAAGATTCTCCTTCTTTTTACAGTAATCCTTTTTCACTACGAATTGCTGAACTTTTAATTTCTCGTGTTGAAGCTTCACAAAGAATTGAATTTGTTAATTATTCTGGTAAAACGCTGACTACAGCATTACACCGTGCTGCTTCTGTTGGGAATGAACCAATGGTGCGGCTACTTATTAAACATGGGGCGAATAAAGAATCGACTGATAAAGAGGTAGAATTAGGAAGAAAATATAAAATTTAAATAAGATTTATTTTTTAGGGAAAATCCCCGTTATTTGTGGCTGTTGAACAGGCACAATATGAGGTACTTTTAAAGAATCTTTGAAAATTATTTTTATTTTTTAAGACAGTTTCTGTCCTTTTGGAGTTGGGAGCAGATCGTAATAAGTCGGACATGAATGATACAAAAATTATGGAATTAGCCTCACAAGTAAATAATTTAAATAATTTTTTATTTAAATTAAATTTTTTAGCCCGGATTTGAACCAATTTCTCAACTTTTCCGTAAATTTCCTGAAAATCAAAATAATCATCATCAACATATTCAATTCTTTAATTCTTCTACTCGTTCCTCCTCTACCCCTAAAGACCAACAAAAAAATCAAACTAATGGGAAAAGACAAAGGGTTGGAACGAAAAGAAGAAATACAGCAACAACAACAACAAATAACTCTTCTTCAAATTCTATTTTACAGGTAAAGAAAATAATTATTATATTATTTTTAAAAAATAATTATTTTAAAAAGGTTATTCAAAGAGGTGTTAATTCTGTTCTTTTACCTTCAAATAATAGAGAAATAAATAATTATGAAGATGGCTCTTCTGCTGCCAAAAAAAGAGCTCCAATAATTATTTCAAATAACAACAACAATCCAAATATATCTCCACCATGTTTACCCCCTTATTATCCTCCCTCTTCTAATAATATTTGTCAGCAATCTTTAAATAATTCAAACAGTATTTTACAAAACCAACAACAACAAATTTCTTCTTCCCCTCCTCTTCTTCCTTCAATTCAACAAAATCAATTTAATGGTATTTTTAATTATAAAATTATTTTCTAAAATTCCTCTATTCATCGTCTTAACTCAAAATCCAATTTTTATTGGTTCAAAGAATCGTTGAAATTAGACAACATTGTTTGAATTATTCCATCAACCCTTAGATTTAGTTTTTAAGGGCATATGGAAATTTTGAATAGGTCTCATCATCTCTATTATTACACCTTATCTTTCCAATATTTTATCAATACTTTCTTATATCTAAAATATAATTATTCACTTTTCTCTCTCATCATCTCTATTATTACACCTTATCTTTCCAATATTTTATCAATACTTTCTTATATCTAAAATATAATTATTCACTTTTCTCTCTCATCATCTCTATTATTACACCTTATCTTTCCAATATTTTATCAATACTTTCTTATATCTAAAATATAATTATTCACTTTTCTCTCTCATCATCTCTATTATTACACCTTATCTTTCCAATATTTTATCAATACTTTCTTATATCTAAAATATAATTATTCACTTTTCTCTCTCATCATCTCTATTATTACACCTTATCTTTCCAATATTTTATCAATACTTTCTTATATCTAAAATATAATTATTCACTTTTCTCTCTCATCATCTCTATTATTACACCTTATCTTTCCAATATTTTATCAATACTTTCTTATATCTAAAATATAATTATTCACTTTTCTCTCTCATCATCTCTATTATTACACCTTATCTTTCCAATATTTTATCAATACTTTCTTATATCTAAAATATAATTATTCACTTTTCTCTCTCATCATCTCTATTATTACACCTTATCTTTCCAATATTTTATCAATACTTTCTTATATCTAAAATATAATTATTCACTTTTCTCTCTCATCATCTCTATTATTACACCTTATCTTTCCAATATTTTATCAATACTTTCTTATATCTAAAATATAATTATTCACTTTTCTCTCTCATCATCTCTATTATTACACCTTATCTTTCCAATATTTTATCAATACTTTCTTATATCTAAAATATAATTATTCACTTTTCTCTCTCATCATCTCTATTATTACACCTTATCTTTCCAATATTTTATCAATACTTTCTTATATCTAAAATATAATTATTCACTTTTCTCTCTCATCATCTCTATTATTACACCTTATCTTTCCAATATTTTATCAATACTTTCTTATATCTAAAATATAATTATTCACTTTTCTCTCTCATCATCTCTATTATTACACCTTATCTTTCCAATATTTTATCAATACTTTCTTATATCTAAAATATATATTTAGTTTTTAAGGGATTAGATTTAATTTTTAAGGGCATATATATGGAAATTTTGAATAGGGTTGCCATTTTAGAGTCAGTCGATGGTCGAGCATTTTTTTCGGGCCTCAATTTTTCCGACCGAGTCTTTTTCGGGCCAATTATCCTAAGCCCGACTCGATCTTTCGGTCCTAGTCGGGCCATTTCGGCAACCCTAATTTTGAACAGCTATTGAACATATGTAACATATACTATAACTGAACTGATATAATATTCCCTTATTACGATTGTTTTCTATAAAAAATTTACTTTAAAAATAAAAAATATGTAATTTTTTTAAATATTCTTTATATTTTTACTTTAAATAATTTAGAAGAAGATAGAATTGTTGAAGATCCTTCTTCCTCTATTTACTCTAATATTCGAACATCTTCTTTTCCTACAGCAACAAATAATACAATTCTGAATAATTATAACAATAATGATGGAATATCAACAACAACATTTAATGTACCTTTAGTTTCTCATAAAGAACCTTTAAAGAAATTTATGGATGTTTATTTGGGGTATACCCCAATTTAAATTTTTTGTTTAAAAATATTTTTTAAATTATTTTTATACTTAATTATCGTGGCTATTTTACTTTTTTTCTTAAAAAGGATTTTGTAGGATTTTAGCTATGCCAATTTAGGATTTTTATCGTTAAATAATACACGAAATTTGGAGGATCAAATTATTTTTTTGATAATTTTTGCCTCCTTATGGTGTTTTTGAATGGCCACCCTAAAATTAACATTTTTTACTACCTTATTTGTGTAAAATAAGAGATCAGTTCCTGTAGTTCTTTAAACATTCTCAATATACTACACGTGCCTTTATGATATAATCTTTTGCATTTTCACTTTATTTCATTACAATCTCATGGATTTCTCATAGAAAATAATTTATTTTAACAGTCACGTTAATTGTTTGTATAAAATATTTTCTTTAATCTATTTTAAATATATTTTTTTCATTTTTTGCTACTATTTTCTATGTTTAAATTATTTTGTTTAATTTTTGATAGTAAATATTTTATTTATTTATTTATATACGTCAAAATGACGCGAAGGTCACAAATATAATTTAAATTCACAACAGATGACAAAAATATAAAATTCAAAATAAAAACAATATTTAAATTAATAGGAATAATCTATGTGAGAGTAAATATAAAATTCTAATCGCTTTAATGTTTTGTAATTTCTTGGTCAGGAAATAACTTTTTGGAAAAAACATTATTATCGTGTTGAAAAACACAAAGATGTAGCTGTTTTTGGTTACCATGTTTAGCATCAATAGATGCCTCGAGTATAGTATTTGGAGCAAAGTTACGCTACGAGCATGGTTGTAAGTGAGAACAGTACAAATAATTGTTTTAAAAAGATTGATAAATTAATTAAAACGAAAAATAATATTACCTAATCGAAAGTAAACACCAGCAAGCAATATTCCGCCGGAAATGGAAGAAACAAGTTTACCCTTAAATCTTATTATAAAAGCTTTCACATTCCAGTTAGTCCATTCATCATTTTTTGTATATACAATATATTTTAAGTAAGACACTCTTGATTTCTTAATGGAAAGCCTCTCTATCTCTCCAACTATTGCGCGCTGTTTGTCAGAGGGGGACCATTTTTATATTTCAATAAGGAATGAGGGAGAGACGGTTTGGCTCTTTTTTAAGCATTATATTCCTTAATTTTTTTTCAGAGATTTGCGTTCAAAATAAAAATTTCAAATACAGCTTATTATAAAGTTAGTGAAAACTACGGATTTGTAAATCCGACCTCAACAAAAATTATTGGAATTCTTCGTTTGGTATTGATAGATTAATATTAAAAAAAGATTATTTATTTTTAGAATGGTAGGCCTGGAAACACTAAATTGTGTGTATGCTTTGCAACGACGCAACCTAATGAAACTCAAACTCCCAATTCAATTATTCCTCAAGGATCTGATGGCGAGTTCTATAAATTAATTATCTTAAAGGCTGTGCCACATTTTGAACAAAATAATGCCTTATCGAACAGTGTTAGCGATGATTGAAGAGATTTGTTAATTAAATTAAAGATGTTTTTTATTCCAAACGGAAAAATTTCGGAATACTAAACAGAAAGCAAATCGGTCAAATTATATGTCATTCGAAAGAGCTCGTCGAGTTGAGTCTAAATCTGAAAAAATTTTCGTGCGGACTCCTAAAGGGGCTGAGATACAGGCCCCCGAAAATTGGAAAACCATAGGGGGACCAAGCACTTTTTTGGGGTGAAAAATCCGAAAATGCAAATTATACCTCATTCGAAAGAGCTCCTCGAGCTGAGTCGAATGACACCAAAATCAACGAAATCTGATTTGATTTGACAAAGTTATGACTGTTTGTTTTGACCCCTCCCATAAGGCCTTCGCGGAAAAAAGTTTTTGCCGCTGCGGAGGAAGCCGGGCATGTCGAGCGGAACGACGGCCGACGCTTCGCTACAAATCATCGAAATCCGACTTCATTTGGCCGAGTTACAGACCATCGAAATTTGAAAATTTTTGGGGTCAAAAAATTCGAATATACAAATAATAGCTCATTCGAAAGGGCTCGACAAGTTGATTGAATGACATCAAAATCAGCTCGATTGAATGATTCTGAACAAAGTTATGACCAACTGAATCTTCGCTGAAAAAACTGTTTGTGCTGCTACGGAGGGTAGGTCTTTGCTACACGGTGGCCGTGCTTCGCTGCAGTCGTGCTCGCTTCGCTCGCGGCGACCGTAGCGAAGCGTCGGCCGTCGTTCCGCTCGACATGCCCGGCTTCCTCCGCAGCAGCAAAAACTTTTTTCCGCGAAGGCCTTATGGGAGGGGTCAAAACAAACAGTCATAACTTTGTCCAATCAAGTCGAATTTCGTTGATTTTGGTGTCATTCGACTCAGCTCGAGGAGCTCTTTCGAATGAGGTATAATTTGCATTTTCGGATTTTTCACCCCAAAAAAGTGCTTGGTCCCCCCTATGGTTTTCCAATTTTCGGGGGCCTGTATTTCAGCCCCTTTAGGAGTCCGCACGAAAATTTTTTCAGATCTAGACTCAACTCGACGAGCTCTTTCGAATGACATATAATTTGACCCATTTACTTTCTGTTTAGTATTCCGAAGTTATCATTTTTTCTTATTAATTTTGTATATAGGTATGTATTCTAATAAATTATCGTGTTATTAAGGGTTTCTAATATTTTTTCAAGTTGGGTTTAAGGAGGGCGATATAATTAGACTTTACAGTCCATTGTCCATTTTAAATAAACTACAATCCAAATCTCAATTTATTTTTATGCTAAAAATGTCTTTTAGAAGTTGTCAACAAAAAGAACTTTTCTCTTAAAGAAATCTCAATAAAAATTCTCTTTTTTGCTAACAACTTTTGATTTAAACAAAAACAACAAATTAAGTAAAATTATTTAGAAAATGAAAATTTAAAATTATAGAAACTACTATGTTTCTGAAAAATAATAAAAATAACGTAAACGTTTATATAAATATCAATACTTTTTATTTAATCTTCTTTACTTTTCTCAAAACTTAATGAGAGTTCGCCCAGCGAGGATTGGCATTGATGCGATTAACACTCTCCTCTAAAGTCTCAGTATGAGTCAAAGCAGCAGTAGCCTCACGAATGTCAGAGTAAAGAGTAGTTGTCCTGAAAATATTCTTAAGGAAATATTTCTACGTAAATTAAAAAAATGTTCTGAGAGTTCGTTTTAATT